ACTGACACATCAAGCTTTAGAACATTTATAGTCAATGGTGGAATTGATATTAAGTCTACCTGCCATTAACTATGCACCAATGTCATTTACATGAATTTTTGGGGATTCTTCAAACTTAATGACCACTATACAAAATATCTTTGGTAATAAATTTACCTGAAGCATTTATATCATAAACCTACAAATCAATCTGTTTAAATCACAGCATCAACAAAAGTTTAACAGCAATGGTGCAGATTTATCACAACAGAGCAAATATACAGTAGTACTTGTTATCTATGCTAACAGCCTGTAGCAATGCTGAAATTCAGACAAAATTCCGTAGAAATAAAGGGTGCAGCGTTTTGATCATAAGGAAAAAAAAAAATTAACCATACTTATTGAATACACTGAAAAAAAAATAAAAAAAGAGGATGCATATAGTATTTGTAGTAGGAAGTACACTGATGGATTTTGAGAGAAGTATGTAATTAATTCTGTTGCATCATATAGAATAGTCAGACAAAAACTGATGACTTGCATAATAGGTATGAAAAGGTATCAAAAGAGGTGAGAAAATCTAAGTATACTGTACAGTATACAGTATTTTGTGTCAGCATTGCATAGCACGCAGAGAGAGAGAGCGAGAGAGAGAGAGAGAGATATAGAGAGAGAGTCTTTGTTGGATTTTATGAATGGTTATAATCCTTGTGATCAGGATTTTGGGGGGGATAAAAAAATTTTATGGAATGAATCAGACAAGTTGGGAATTCAGGCTGCTGAAATGAACTACAGGTAGGGGTCCATTTATTCGGTGTCTTAGGATCCGGAACACTACCAAAAACAAGCTATGTTATGGAGCAAATTATTTAAAATGAGCGTCAAATAATTCCCGGGCCGAGCAGGGATACTTCCAACCATCTGTGGGCTATATACCGGGCATATGTTATGTTATGGTAATTTTTTAACTCGTAATTTTGGGTAGATATTATATGCAATTTTCTTAATTTTCTTTACTCAGTTACATGCACACACAATCCTACACAGAGAAAGTGCAAAAATAAATAAAAGAAATAATTATCATAAGGCATAAAGTTTAAGTAGCTATAGGTTTCCACCATAGAGAGGTCAGAGGGTCAACGAAGCAGCACCATTGCTAAAGGCGCTGTTGTGTTGCTAGTACAAGTATCAGGGGTGACTGTGATGCTGCGATGCAGTGTGTACACTAACTTGTATTATTTTTGCTCTTTTTATTCATTACAGTATTACTGTACAATTTATATGTTTTAATTTTTGCTATTTATACGTTTAAGGTTTTAAGGTTTAATATTACAATGTACAGTTAAAGCTACTTTAGGGTAAATATGGTGATCTGAACAGAGGCTTCACAGCCAGTTACAGACTGGTTTATTGTATACTTTGTACATTTTAGGCCTGTCTCTCCAAATTCAGGAGAAAAAAATCTTATCCGGCAACCCCCAGGTTCCCAAACATGCTGGATAAAGGATCCTATACCTGAACTGAAAGATGTTAGTATATTGGAGGGGATAAGTAATGGTGAAATATACTAGAAGTGTGGCATGGATGAGAAGGTTAAATGTATGGAATGTGGGTCAGTTAGTGTTTTAAAGATACAGTATAGTCTGGATTTACGCGGATTTTATTTACGCGTTTGGTCATTTACGCGGTGCCTTGCCAGATGGAAATGTTTTAATTACGCGGTAAATTTCATCATTTACGTGGGAAGCGGCGCGGGCATTGTGCGCATTAGGTCGCTCTTACGTTATCGCTGACGTCATGTGACGTATCGGACTGTGATTGGGCCGCGCACCCTTACCACCCGCGCATTCCCTCCGCCGCTAGCTGTGATGGGTCTAATGTTACATGACATGCCCTGCCACCAGAAGTCGCTGACCTAGCCGGGCCAGTCTCATTGTTCTCAGTCCGCGTATACAGTTCTGTCTTGTGCCTGCTATTCCCCTCACAATGGCTTCTGCTGGACCCCCACCACCCGAGAAAAACCTTGAATTACCTGGACCAAGCCATGGTTATGTGAAGGAAATCATCGAGTTGGGGGAGAAAATCAAGCTCGTCCTTGACAAAGACCCAGTCCAGATCTATCACGACAACATCAATGCTAGTCGTCAACGTAGTATTAAGGACTTCTTTGCCCGCGACCCACCACAACCACAGCCAGCCCAAGTCAGTGATAGTGACAGTGAGGATATGGACTTTGAAGGGTTTGTCAGGGAGGCCCTGCAAACCTCTGCGAGTAGTGAAAGTGATTCACCGGAGGGCAACTAAACTGCCCTCTGCCTCGGAACCAGCCGTCATCCACGTGTGCAGACCCATCTCTTCTATTAACGTAAGTGTTAAACACCTTTAGATTTGTATTTTTTTATTTAGATATTATGTGTGTAGCAATACCATCATAAAATTATGACGTTATTTTCACTACAAGGTATGTATTGTGTAGGAAAAAGTGGAGTTTGGTAGTCGGCCCAGTCTCTATTTCAATTAATCCCATATGTTCTGTTATTTCATTTACGCGTTTCTCGTTTTACGCGGACCTCCACGGGTTCAATTGACCGCGTAAATGCAGAATATACTGTATATGCATTGTATTGGTTTGGACATGTGCGAAAAGAATATAGATAATACAAAAAAAATGAAGAATGAGGTGAAGTGGAAGAGTACACAGCGGAATGGCTGCTTCGGGGAAATGGAGCAAGTTAAGAGAGACATGTTTAGATATACAGTACTGTAGTGTCCTAGAAGCTAAGAGTGATGTCACATTAGGGTGTAAAGGGAATGTACTAAGTTAAGAAAGCATGTTTAAACATGATGACCCAGAGACTTTTGAAAGACTGTACTTAATAAATCAGATAGAATTTAGATGTAAAATGTCGTGATTTCAAGATCAGGAGAAGAAAAACTGTAACACCTAGTTTAACTAAATCAACAACAGAAATAAAAAAGAATAAAGATAACGTAACCTAAAACATTACTTACACACAAACACACATTCAGTAACACGTCACACAAAATATTCCCCTACGAAAGTTGGGTACTCAACATACCGTTTATGTCGGCATACAAGGCCACGGGGTGTATAAGACAACCCCCAAAATTTCCATTTAAAACGTAGGTTTTGAGCTATACTCGCTGTATAAGACTACCGCAAATCTGACACTTACCACTGGGAGCTTACTGCCCAAGTAGACCTTTACCAACCATCCCACTGACCAGAGGAGTGAAGCTGTTAAACACACTGCTAAGCAACACATGCTTGGTTATTTAAAACAAGGCCAATTCAGAAAAACTCAATCTAAAGGACATAAATAAACAAATAAATACTTCACTAGACCTTCGGTGCCAACTGTCAAACGTGTCACTGTCACCTTCACTTCCTCCTCCCCGCCCCCCCTCCCCTCCCAGCCAGGGTTTGGTGGTTATAGGCTTATGGATTTTATCTTATATAATATCAAAGACTAAAGTTAGGAGAATATAATTTGCATTGCTAGAATCCTTGCAAGACAGTGAATAATTTTCATATAAACGTCATATATTTTGCACAAGAGATAACATTTTTAGTACATTAGTGTATATTTTAGCAATGCACAAGTTTTTCAACTGTATTTTTGGGTAAATTTACATAAATTTCTTCATTTATTTTTATTCATTTACATGAACACACCATCCTAAAAATAAGTAAAAAAAGTAATTGTCTTAAGTGCAAACCTGTACTGTACTAAAATATACAATAAATTACAGTAATAAACTCTTTATGTCTAGTGCAAACTATAGCAGATTTATATTCAAATTAATAACTATCTTATAAGAATGCCAGCAATGTAAATTATATTCTCCCCAGTCAGTTCAGTGACATTTTATAAGGAAAAAACAAAAACTCAATCTAAAAGACATAAATATACAAATAAATTCTTCACTAGACCTTTGGCCCCAACTGTCAAACGTGTCACTGTCACCTCATCTCCCCCCACCCCCTCCCTCCCTGCCTCCCTCTCCTCCATCTTCCCAGCCAGGGTTTGGCTATTTAAATACAGCTGTTTGTTTACTTCGGCAGCAGATGCAAATAGCAGGCGGTGCGTGATGACACCTGCATTTATTATGTTGTTATTTTACAGTATTTACGGTATGTTAGACAGGTTTATAATACATTTTTATTATTTCAATATACACACTATACCACAGGATGTAGAGGTTCGGATTTTATACCCAGCGTTTAAGATGACCCTAATTTGGGGCTATTTTTTTAAGGTTCAAATTCCGTCTTATACAGTACACCGACGTATACGGTAACCAGAGATATCCTTACAATGGCCAACTGATCAAAATTATCCAACCATTAAAGTTGTACTATAATTCCCATGTGCATAACAAGTGCAGTAAGCCCTCCCCAACTGTGGGTTTCCCATTTGCAGATTCCAGGTATCTATGGTTTTTACTCTGTATACCATTTCACCAAATGCGGCGATTGAATTTTGAGTATCCGCAGTATAGTGTGGCATCTCTATCTCTCTGCGGTCTAATGTATTCCTCCATAAATGAGAGGAATGAATAGAAATAATACTGATAAATAAAAGAAAAGTAAAAATACTGCATTGTCATTTGGTAATCGTTTCACTAAGGACACGAGAGACAGGAGCACATTCTCTCCTTCCCCTCCCACAATCTCTCTACCTTTTTCACCTTCCCAATATTCTTTTTTTTTTTTGCACACACTATATGAACGATTGCATGTGCGTGTTACAGTAAAAAAAAAAATATTAATAATAATAAAATTACGTATATCTACCTGAAACTACGAGTTAAAAAAGAACAATAAGCCAGTTCACAGCTTGGCCTGATAGGGAGTGGCTGAAATTCCTGACACCCACGATCTGACACTTAACTCCCATGGACATAAAAAAATTTTATTCTCTTTATATTTTTGACCTTAAAATAATAATCATGTCCCTCATTTTTTTACACACTTTGTATGAATGATTGGGTGCTTGTAAAAAAAAAAAAAATACATACAATATATCTACCTTAAAATATGAGTTGAAAAATAACAATAACAAATAACAAAGCTTGCCCTGGTAGAGGGAGAGCTATGGGGAAGTAGCTATACGGACAGTCTACTTTGGCAACCTGCCAAGTCTACACACAGACATGTTCACTTCACACACATACACACCAATGCTCTTCATTTTTCTTATTTTATAGTAACAACATGCCATCTCCAGGAGATATATTGTAAAATTTATATTACCATTTATTCATATTAAGCTATTTTAGTTTTGCCAATCGCGGATTTGCCAACCACAGGGTTTTCAGGAACCAAAATCCCGCAGTTTGCGAGGGACTACTGTAATATGTTAAACAAGATTAGATGTATTTGACTATAGTAATCATTATACAGTAATCTTAAAAAAAATATATATTGTTAACAAGGGAAAATATAACATTTTACACTATAAATGATGGGAACAAAAGTACAAAATGTAACCTGCTTTCTTCCCAGTCACATGTGGAACTTTCTATCTTTAGTTCCGTTATGTGCTAATAGTAATTTCATTATCATATACTGTAGGTGCATGGAGGAGTGACAACCAGGTCATATGATACAAGGATAAATAATTTTACGGAATCATAACCGTATACGGTATCAATAAATTACACTGGGATCTGAGGAACATTAAGACTGCTACACATAAATTTCTACTAACAGATCTGCAATTGTTCACCCATTCTGCATACTGTATCACGAAAATCATAAAAATCCCTGCAGTATGACTGAATATAAAGACCTAATGATAGTAATTTATGATAAGCTTGCATAAATAACATTAAAAATGATAAAGCCTATGTATATAATTTTGTACGGTACTACGTAATAACATTTTCAACAATAAATTACCTGACTTTCGGTAGTAATAATTAAATAACACCATACACTATTAATTATTATATCTACAATGTTGTACTGATGGAATTAAATGCAAAGAACAATTATTTCAATGGTAAAGAATTCTGTATCTGCTGATCATTGACACACACACATACACACACTCCTTTTTTGGCTCCTGAGGATAATTTACTTTTTAACTGTATCACTTCTTCAAATGAAGACACAGAGTAAAACCTATAAAACAGCAAAGTTTATGTCAAAGAAAGTTGGAGATAGTAACTATGTTTGTCCAAAACTGCTCAAACATTAGAATTATCCCAAAACAGTTGGTCTGAGGCAACTACATGAATCAACACCTTCACAATCTCTTTTTTTGTGGAATTACCCTTCCAGTTACCTACAATAGTCGTGCCGGCACCCGCATGACTCAACTTTAAATATGTCAGGAGTATGACTCAAAATAAAAAATTTCTATTGGCAAATGGGTGGATATTTTAAACAGCATTCTTGTTCAGATACAGGCAACCTGCAATACTCTGTAATGGGGAAGCAGAACCTAATTTACTTGGGTTTCTTCCTTTGTTATTTGAAGGGCTTATATGAATATTTAGAGAAAATACAGTACAGAGTAAAAATGTTTTGATGATAACCTCAAACCAAAATGGGTGGATTAGTTAAAAAAATAGCACTTATGTGCCTCAAATTACTTTAACAATCATGACTCATTTCCAAGGGGCTTACTATACTGTACAGTACAGAACTATAAACTTAAAAAAAAAAAAAAATGTGGAACTTAAAAAAAAAAGAATACGTATATTTTTTTAATTTCCAAACATTAATTAATGGTTTGCTGAATAATATTAAAAAAAAATAATAAGGTTTAAGTTTTATGTATCAAAGTTGAGATAAAAAATGCCATGTGTCTTGAACCTCCTGGAGTGCCTAAGCATTTGTAATAAAATATATACCTGATGATGAGATGTCCTCTAAAGAACTGTGTTCTCTCTTGATTTTACATCTACAAAAAAGTTACAAGTATTCCTGCATCAGTGTAACTACATAACCATCTGTTATGTAAGTTGGATCTGCAGTTCTCAATTTCACAACCTTAACCTGTAAGAAATAAAACATCACCAGTAATGTATCTCATCATACTGGATGTATAATACATGCTGCACTAAGGTTTGAGTCTGATAGTGAAATGAGGAACCATGATACAGTTTGTACAGGGGATCACTAAATGTTTCAGTAAGAGGCCTAAAGCAAATTTGAAGACTCAGCGTATCAATAGGCAAGGGGTTTATGTTCCGTGAAACATCAAACAAATAGGATAATCTTGAGCGAATGAGTGATAAAATGAATACATAATGCATGTGTTTACGATATCAACTGAGGTTGGGTTTACAAACCATCACTTATTAAATAAAAGATTATTTCCTAGGAACACTCTGACCCATAGAAGATGTTGGTTAAATCAATCCATTTGGTAGGTGACTGGTTCAAGATGAAAACTTTGTTTATAATACTCTAACCTTATCAGTTTTTCTTTCTTTATTACGGGATCACCAGTGTGGAAATGGTAAGTGGTAGCTAACATTATGATTTTTCTTATGGTTTTACATAAAACAGTATATACAGTACTTATAAGTAAGCACTTTGTCTCTAAGGAGATTCATTTAATACAGTCTAGTTTAGTGGTCTGGGATATATTTTTACATTCTACACTAACACTGCCATCTCATATTCTAAATAAGACTATTTACAGTATAACACTAACCTTGTGCTAGGAGAGACGATGGGTCATGACAGCAGTTGCAGATCGAGCAATAAGGCCCCAAAATTTAGACATAATTCGCACTGGCCACCAGCACACCTCCACCACAGATAGTGTGTGAGTCCAGTGTTGTAAATAATCTGTGCAAGGTGCTCAGGAAAATACTCACAATTAATATTGAAGATTTTTTATGAAAAATCTATGTGACCCCAAAAATTAGCTGTAGTTTTTATTGGAAAAGGTTACATTAATACCTTCCCCACTCATTTACTTATACACTATATGAAATCCTACTAATCAATGAAGGATATGCCTTTCTGAAAGCATTATATAGCACTTACAATTTTTGCTCAAAATTCTATATGCTAGCTTTGTTATAAATCAGTGGCGTACCGTGATGAGGCACCACATACCCGGTATATCAGTTATCAAATCAAATATCAAGTAGGATATGGCCTCTCTCTAAATAAGGGTTGTCAAGCTTCTATAAACACCTAATTTCTTAAATTATATCAGTGGCATCTGACAAAGTATCTACAGTGAGATCCCGTTAGCCGGAACAATTGGTGCAGAGCACTTCCGGGAATGAGAGATTTTCGGGTAACGAGACGACACTCTCAAAGCCGGAAAAAATCCCTCATCCCCGGAATTTTCCGGAATTTACCAGGTAAAGGAAAAATGTTCTCGGAAGTTCCAGAAATTGCCCATTACATCATCTCTCGAACAAGGAAAAATATCCCCCATCCCCGGAATTTTCCAAAATTTTCCGGGTATCGGGAAAATTTTCTCGGAATTTTCTGAAAAATGTGCCCCTCAGAAAATCGTTCCCAAAGTCGTAATTTTTCGGAAAATTATGGCTTTGGGAACGATTATCCGAGAAAATTTCAATTCCAGCTATCGGAGAGTTTCGGGTTTGAGGAATTCCGGCTAATGGAGATATAATTATATTATATAAATCATTAAATAATGGGTGCAAAAATACTTACGGCAAAAGAATATTAAGTTTTCAGTGTGATCTACGGTAATTTAGAAATAAAGTTGTTAAAAAAAAATACTAGGCATCATGTACAATGCTGGCCCTCTGTAAAGTTGCCATTGATCTTTTTGCTAAACATTTAAATAATTAGTAAATATTTATATGATCTGATTATTATTTCAAGCAAAACAGAAACTGAACAACTTTCCCACGTGAAAAAATAACTGAAACCAGACTGTGGGGTTATTTATAAATACAGTGGTCCCACGGTTAACGAACACAATTCGTTCCAGAAGGTCGTTCGTTAACCGAAAATTTTGATAACCGAATCCATTGTTTCAGTGGGATATTGGGTAATTGGTTCCAGCTCACCGAAAAGTACATACAAAGTAAAAAAAAAAATGCAATAAAGTACACTTACTTTGAGGTGTGTATGTAGAAGGCTCCTGGCTGATGATGATGATGGGAATTAGAAGTGGGGGTGGAGAAGGGAGAAGAGAAGGAAGTGGGGGTGGAGGAGAAATCACCTTTCAGGGGAGCCATGCTGGATCCAGTATTTTCACCAATAAAATTTTAAGTTCACTTGGTGTAATTCAAGATTATTTTCTTTAAATCAACACTGCACTGCGCTATATATTATCAATCAGCCGAGAAGGTTGGACAACTACTTCCAGGGTTCATCAAGGCAGATGAAAGAAATTTACCCAAAGTAGATGTCTTTATGATTGTAGAGTATTATCAAGAACTCGGCCATCCAGCTATGAAGCACGTTAAATTACATCTGTCATCTGATCATCTGAAGCCCATCCCCTGGCCATGGTCGTCCGTAGTCCTTCCACAACATTAAATATAGACATCAGTGACGAAAACTTACATTTTCCAGACATGAAATAGAGAACGGTGATGAAAACTTCCATGTTGGAGTTATCGGTCTTTTGCATCATTTTGGCACCCACACACATATATATGCAATACAGGTGAAAGAAATAATTGTCCTAAGGGCAAACACATAAAGGGAATATACATTTCTTTGTACACAATTGTGTTCTACTACAGTGTCCCCTTCCATAGCAAGGCCTGAGATACACATATAGTGTATCCATCATTTCAAATAACCCAGCTTCACAAGTTAGCAGTAGTATATCTCTCTTCATAAACCACATAAAACCTTATTTTCTGATCTATGCATATACAATCAGTACTGTAATGTGATACAGGTGATTAATTTTTATCTCTTGTGCAAAATATATGACATTTATATTCAAATTATTCGCTGTCTTGCAAGGATTCTAGTAATGCAAATTATATTCTCCTAACTTTAGTCTGTGATATTATATAAGATAAAACTTTAAGCCTAAAACCACCAAACCCTGGCTGGGAGGGAGGGGAGGAGGGGAGGGAGGAAGAGGAGGTTAAAGTGACATGTTTGACAGTTGGTGCCGAAGGTCTAGTGAAATATTTATTTGTTTATTTATGTCCTTTAGATTGAGTTTTTGTTTTTTGCTTATAAAATATCATAGAAATGACCAGGGAAAATATAATTTACATTGCTTGAATTCTTATAAGATAGTGATTAATTTGAATATAAACGTCATATATTTTGCACAAGAGATAAAATATTAGTACACAGTACATTTTAATAATGTACAATTTTTTCAACTGTATTTTTGGGTAGATTTACATAAATTTCTGGGTGTCTCTTTTTCTTCTCAGCACCACGAGAACTCTCACTTTTACACTTGCCAGCCATTTTAAAGGGAATTAAAAAAAAAATTTAGTAGTACACAGCGCTATCACTAACGTCGGGACTCGAAAATACGTAATTTCGAAAAAAAAATTGTACGACTGCGGCGGTTCGTATGTCCAGGTGGTCGTAAGTCGAATAGGTCGTAAGTCGAGGAGTACCTGTATTCTATTGTTTTTTATTTATTATTGTACAGTATACTGTACAGTACAGTACAGTACTGTATTTAGATTATATTTCATGTTTTGTTAATTCTATTACTGGTATACAGTACTTTGTATGTACTTCTTCTGTGAGTTGGAACCAATTACCCAATATCCCATTGAAATAATAGACTCGGTTAACGAAATTTTCGGTTAACAAACAACTCTGTGGAACGAATTGTGTTCATTAACAGGGACCACTGTACTGGACATGCCTGCTTCCTGAATGTCCATATCTGTGAAATATTTTAATTACTACTGTTGAATTTTATGTACTATAAATCACAAAAATTTCTTACAAATAAATAATTTTAATAAGGCTAAGTATAAGTAATAATATATTTCAGTGGGGGGTAAATAACTGCTTAAATAAATGAATAAATTAGTATACATCGACATGGTTAGAAAAGGATATAGGAGTGTCCACGGTGGATGTCCCCCATTAACGTATCGGACATAGGAAAAGCCATCTTTGGGTTTTCCTTTTATGTTGTAATAATATGGTAGAAAAGTGTGGCGCCTGAAAATAGAGAGTATTATTGTTAACAAGTTTTAAATGTAAATACTCCTCAAGTTATCAATAAAGAACATTACTGTACACTTCTCCCCTGATCCTTAGCCCCCATGTTCCAGGGGAAGAAAAGTGGCCTTTAAGGTCTCTTTTACGTTAAAAGGCAACTCAACTACAACTACAGCTGCCACAAGATTCTCACATCAAATTTTCTTCATTATTTAAGCAAATAAACAAACATTTGAAAACTTCTGATCTAAAATAACGACAAATAGTTTATGGGGTATTATAAAATTCTACCTTTGGTTTGTTTACTATTTATCCTGACAGTGATACAGCCAAAAATAGATTCACCAACCACAATCACCATTATATACAGCCTTACTTTACCAAGTATGCCAGGTAAAATTGCGAGTACGGGACCCATGGTGGGGTTGCTGGATCTTTGGTTGACTGTACAAATTTCTTTGGACCTCTAATGCCCTTACACTCAAAATTCTTGAACTTAATATAGCTTCTCTAGCTCCTTTTCCCTGTCTAAATCCATTTTGCCCTTCAGATAACTGACTTTCTATTCTAAACTTTGTTCTACTTAAAATTATGTTTCATAAGACTTTGCTGGCATGACTGATATTACTGGCTTATTGCTGATTCTTAAATGATAAAACCTTAATAAAATATTCCACAAAGTTGCAATATAATACTGATTTTTTTAAGACAGAACCTCAATAAAATCTTACACAAAGTTGCGTCGTTGATAAAAGGCGATGGCACGGTGATTTGTGGTGAGGACATGTAAGAGCACAGCTTGTACGCGGGGTGACTCATGAGCAGACAACTGGGCCAGATAGTTGTCCAATAACAATGAGGCGATTCCATGGCCACGATGAGCATCACTTACACCAAGTGTCAGGATGTAGCCAATTTGTGTCTGACCAGTCAGGGATGGAGGTAAAATATCTTGGTCCTGAAGAGGAATGACTAATAATAGAGTCTGTATTATATAATTAATGTACTTTTATAAGGAAAATAAAGCGAGTGTTAGTTTTTGTCAGGAAGAGGGGGAACTGGCTCCTATTGCAATTATGATTTTATCATTACAGGTATGTCAAAGATGCATAATGTCACTCTGGTTGTTTAATATCTTCATGGCTTGAGTATTAAGAGGGGTGATGGAGAGGGTGCAAGTTGGTATATAATAATACAGGATGTAAATGGGAGATGAATCAGCTGTCATCTATTGTACTGATGTCACTGTACTGGCAGGCAATTCAAAGAAAAAATTACAAATGTTAGTACTGTAGTCCCTCACCAACCGCATGGGTTAGGCTCCAGGAAAACCCTGTGGTTGGTAAGACAAAGGCTCATGGGAAATAGGGGGGTTAGGTTCCACAGCAGCCAATAACACTTATCAAAGCTTAACTAAGTTACCTGTTCCTTCGCAAAACAATACAGTAGAACGTCGATATAACACGAGATACATTCTAAGAGTGGTCGCTTTAAACCGAATTAGCACTAAATCGAAGTGTTGTTTCAATGGAATAATTTAGTTTGGTACTTAAGAGAAACACAAAATACTAAAATGACTAAGAGTCTACCCCGATGCACCTCAGCCCATTTCCTAGAATAAACAAAACATTGATTTTGTAGTATTATGTTAAAACAAACGCTCATAAATCAACAGAGCTAAAATTATGGGACGTGAAATGGTCTGTTTACTGGCGATCAGCTGATGGGAAAACATTGGGGGGGGTGAGGTGATATGTTTGACAGTTGATGCCAAGGTCTAGTGCTTATATATTTATCTGTCCTTAAGAGTGACTTTAAGTTTTTTTGTTATAAAATGTCACTGAACTGACATGTTCTAATTAATTTTATTACAAAGGACTAAAATTTTTATCCCTTGTGCAAAATATAAAACATTTATATTCAAATCATTCGCTGTCTTGCAAGGATTCCAGCAATGCAAATTATATTCTCCTAACTTTAGTCTGTGATATTATATAAGATAACAACTGTAAGCCTATAACCACCCAACCCTGGCTGGGAAGATGGGGGGACAGTGACACATTTGACAGTTGGCACCAAAGGTCTAGTGAAGTATTTATTTGTTTATTTATGTCCTTTAGATTGAGTTTTTGTTTTTTGTTTATAAAATGTCGCAGAAGTGACCAGGTAGAAAATAATTTACATTGCTGGAATTCTTATAAGATATTGATTAATTTGAATATAATCATGCTATAGTTTGCACTAGACAAAATGTTAGTAATAATTTTGTACATTATTTTGAGTACATGTACAGTACAGCTTTGCCCTTAGGACAGTGTAGCGTGCCCAGAGAAACATTAGGCGCGAATTTTAAAATATGATGCACCAGATTGACTCGCGCAAAATACTAAAGATTCGCTTTAAATTAAAACATTGTCAGTCAGCAAAGGCAGCACATCCCAGCTGAGCTGCGATGCAGTGTATGCACTATCTTGTATAATTTTAGCTTTTATATGCTTTCATTATTTTTCCTAAATATTCAATGCTGAAATCAACTTGACCATCAGTGGAAAAGAGGTGGTTGTGTGGTGCACATTTAAACTGAAATAGACCTAACCAACTGAGTCATGCTATTGATAAACTGCCCATTGTTTCCACACTTACGATGACCTCCCACACAGAATACACACCCATGCTCTTCATACTTCTTATTTTATAGCTTTTTATTATATTTTCTTTTTTTCTAAGTAACATATATGTAACAATGGCAACATGCATTACCATCTCTTCAGGCCACAGCTGACTGGCATGTCAGCCAGATGACTCCTGGTGCAGCTCTCAGAAAAAATGGACTTCTTTAGCAATTATTCTACACTATATAAACAATGTGGCTTAGAAATAGAGAAAATATAATATAAAACTATAAAATAAGAAAAATGAAGAGCATATGTGGGAAGTAAATGTGTTATGAGGCGGTGGGTTAGTGGGCTTTAAATGGTTACAGCATACACACCCACCACAGTCGCCGCCACACGTCTGTGAGTCGGCTGAGCTAGGTGATTTCTGGAACTATGTCATGAGCTGGATGCGTGGGAGGTATGCATGTGGAAGAACTTTTTCTTTCTATATAAAATAATATATACTGTACCAGTAATAAAAAAAAATAAATACACTGCGTTGCCATTTAGCAGGAGACGGTGAGAGAGCACAGCAGTGAGTGAAGAAAATCTTACTGTAGCGCTTGCTTCTACACACAATGATTAATTCCCTTTATGTTTTTGATCTTATGATAATTACTTTATAATTGTTTTGGCACATACTGTACTGTGTGTGGTGGGTATTTAAACTGAAATAGGCCTAACCAGCCAAGTCGTCAGATGCACTATTGTCAGGTACTGTGTAAATAACCATGTATTTTATGGGTAATTTAAAGGATTTTCAAGGGTAATTTTTACTATACTGTACAGTATATATTTGTAGCTTTATGTGCCCTTTTCAGAACGTAACCCTGACGAAGATGCAACATGACTGTACCTGAAGATATGGGTACAGTAGGGAACTGCATTTAAGAAAACCACTACATCTATCCTTTTATATTACCAGCATAGAGTATAAAAATATACTGTACAGTACAATACTTGAGAAATTCAGAAAGACTGAAAAATATTACAAACCTCCTTATTCATCTTAGACAAAGGCTTCGTCTCTGCCACCAGTAGGCCAATGATTTGTGAATGAAAAGTTGCAGCCAGTGCATAAAAACGAGGATTAGTTGTGATCTCTTCGTACCAAACATCAGGATATTCAATTGGGAACCATTCTCGACACAATGTTTTAACCTGCAAGGAAATATGCAAAATAAAAATGTAATCAATAATCTTAAATCGAATCGCTTCAAATTGACGTTCTACTGTACCATAGAATTCCTTGTAGTACTATGTTCTCAGTATTAGCTATAACACATTTATAAACAGCAGCAGAGAGAAAAATTACCTCAGGCAAATCACTAGGGCACAAGAACCGCAGCTTGAGTTCTGCCAAGGAGCAGAGCAGCACTCCATCCTGCGTACTGCTGCCGTCCTGCACCAAACCCCTGCACCAGAAAAATTTGTAAATTATCCAGATATATTTATACAGAATATGAACAGAATTTAAGATTTTACCAGCAGGTTTCAAAGGTAAAACACCATACAGCTGCTAAATGGATAACTGGCAACAGATTTGTGTTGTAAGTTTTAGATAATACTGTCTTCAATACAGTCTTGTTTTGATAATGAAAGTACAGTACAATATTTACAGATCATTTAACTAACTAATCTTTTCTCTGAATTCATCACTAGCATCAGAGACACAGAACTTTACCATGTAACTGTGTGGCTATAAGCAGGGGCAATCCCTGTGCACTACCCCTTCCTGGGATGATTCCACAATGCCTTGTGACAATTTCACGCTCCAGGAATGCAAACAATGTCTTTACCCCCGTGCGAGACAAGTGTACTCCGTCACGACTGTACAGGTAGTCGTTGCCATAGAATGGTTGCCAGTTATCAATGAACGCCCAACCATTACTTGCACAATGTTTTTCCAGTTGGCAATTTATAGCAATTGCCCTGGACAGCCATTCACCACCAACTCCTCTTCTAGGCAAGACACCACATACTATTGGGATCCCTCCCCTATCTCTAACCTTCCCTAGCACCTCTTGAAAAGTTTTTCACTCCTAACCTTTCCTATGTTGTTACCTTCTACACAAAAACACTACTGGCTTGGTACCCTCCCCTGACAAAACCCAATCTATTCTCTCAGCTACATGCCCTATCCCAGCCCCAGGAAAACTGACCCTAGTCCTACGTTCCCTATCTCTTGCTCAAAAAGTCCTATCTAAGAACCTCACCTGACTGTCCCCAACAACCACAACCTTACCACAGGGCAGGGTTTGAAAAACTGCCCTTTTCTCTCCTGGCACCACACTGTCCTTCCTCTTCTCTTCCTCCAACACTTGGTAGGGGTTACTGCACTCCACACCCTGGTCAGCTTTCCTGAATCTGACCCTAGTCCCCTTGGAGACAACCACTCTCAACCCCTGCTCCTCCTGACCCTCTTTCGCAGGTGTCCTGAAGTTCAGTCCTGAGGGCTTCGTTCCCCCCCTTTAAAACGTCTACCTCTCTCCTCAACTGCTCCAGCTGACTTAACAGAGTGGCCAGGGGGTCGTCTTTCCTCACACAACGCCCCTCTTCCCCCAAAACACAACGATCCACGGCAGCCATTTCCTATGGTCACTAACACGAGCACTTAGGGGCACGTCCTTCTCCAAGCTATGTCAGGTGACGTCTGCTCTTTGCTTGTTTCCATGCACCAACCAAGCCATTCGGTCTGAGCACTCTCGCGTTAAAAAAAAGGAAAATGAAACTATGCCGCTTCAAGAAAGTTAATATCATTGGTATCAGATATCAAATTAAGTACTTTCTGTTTAATATGCTGGGGGGGGGGCCTGGGAGGGCAGAGCCTCCTGGTTAGGAAGTTAGGTAGGTTTCTTAGGTAAGGTTAGGTATGATTCTTTGTATGGTTAGGTCAGTTTCTATAATGTTCTGTGTATTGTGTTTAATTTTTATACTTACTATCATCCAAAGAACATGTTAGGAAAAAATTAACAAAATCGAACAACGCGTTATGGTGTTAGCTATCAGCTCCAGGATTACCAGAAAATCTCATCACCAATGAATAATTGATACATTTATGAAAACTTTGGAAACATCAAGTAAGAGTGTTTGTGTAAGACAAGGTCAAGGCTCCCGACCACTGTGATAATGATGTACCAAGCTTCATTTACTCTTATTTCGTAATACTGAGTCTTGTCAAGCTTGGATTAATCTCTAACTTTATTAAATCGGCCTTAATGAATGTGGAGAGGACTTACCTACTGGTGTGACTCATGGAGCTTCTCCCTATTAAAGGTAATTCATGTGGTGGAGCTGGAGCTCATTGTTTACCATCATCAGCTGACTAGTGTTGCCAACCTCCTCTACCATCACAACCATTTAACAAGTACCTGTATATCTGAGGTGAAAGCATTAATTTAAATAAATATATCTTAACATTATATTTTTGTAAACATTGTGAACAATCGGAACTACCAATTGACTAAGATTATTCATTGGTTACTTCTCCCTGTACACTCAGTTGGTAACACCATGAACCGTAGAGCAACACAGTGCTGATGTTCTCTTGTATTAAACCTTGGGATAGGAGATAATTGATAATAAGACTGGCTTAGTCAGATGATGATAAATATCAGAGATGGAAACAATCGATCTAATCTCCAGAAACTGCAATAATACAATTTGTCCGAACCGTCCCATTTGTCTTTACATTGATTGCGTCATTTACTGAAGCAGCCAGTCATAGGTCACAGACTGGCGTGCCGCGGTTCTATCCAACTAATTATTATTATTAGGCCCTATAGTAGAAACGATACGCATTATTGCAACTGCAGACAAAAAAATCTTCAAGAATATGAATGATCAGATACTGCTATCGATTATCTTGTGTGTTAGTAATACACCGTCTCGCTGGTTGACACATTGTGCTGTACAAAAAATATACAGGTATTAAACCTGTTGCACGGATCCAGGAATTTTTCCATGGGAGCCAACACATCAGTGGTGGGAGCAATACAGTATTTTAAATCTAATCAGGACGGGGCACGGTTTTTGTTTAAGTCAAAGACAATAATTATAGTCTTTGGTTTAAGTAGAGTTTCATTGCACAAAGGGGTGGAATGTAGTCTGATTTTTTTTCTATGGGGGATGATTATATGATTATCCAAAGTGTAATACTCGCTTACTTCTAAATCCAGTAGGCTATCCTTCCTGAGATTTTTTTATAGTTAACAAATTACGCCCAAAGAACGGCAGACTCAATATGTACCTTGGACAGACTCACCAGAAGACATGCAACCTATCAGTCTATCACAGTCAGAATCCAACGAGAGAATTTTTATCTAGTTAGCGAACAGATGTTTCTCATATGGCTGTAAACTTCAGGATATAACGTAAGGCAACAACAAAAGTATATGTCTAAATTATCAGAATATCAGGTACACGTTAATGATGACATACTGACTGAATATCACCATTAACTGGGAGTATCGCTGATCACATTATGATACAGTGCTGCACTGTGATTAATGACTCCAAATCCCTGACACTGGGACAATCAAGGCAATAATGCTAAAGGGTGAATCCATAGCCATTCATCTTTCTCAGCCTATACCTTCAAATTGGCCCTCCTACTTTCAATTCCATTTTTTTATATATTTAATACTGCGAACTTAGAATTTTATAGGGGGGGGAGCAAAAGTCCAAAATTTCCTACGAATGGGCATGGCATGATCAAATTCACTACCCCTGCTCCGCACTATGCGTGAGTTTAAATTTATGGACAGACAGAAGGACTGACTCGCTCAACCACCTCAGGATTCAGGGAAGTGTCCTAGCATAGATCGGAGACTTTCTTCATGACCGCAAGCAGTGTGTGGTGCAAGAAATCGTCATGTGTACCCTGTGATAAACAGGGTACCACAGGGCAATGTATTGGGCCTGTTGTTGTTTGTTTGCATCATAAATAACATGCCGGAAGCTATATATTTCTCTACATAAATGTTTGTGGATGATGCCAAGTTATTCAGGGAAATTAAGAACCAAACATTGTGAAGAGCTACAGAAAGATCTCTTGTCAGATTCAATAGTGGTCGAAGAAATGGTTGTTAAGATTCAATGTCACAAGAACGCAGACACTACTCTGAACATCATAACTAGTAAAGTCACCCATTTGATCGATAAATATATACCCACGACCAAACCCCAGTGCCTCTAGGAATACGAGGGGATCCCTATACATGAACCATGGGGCAGTCGACAAAGTTAAGAAGAAAGCCCATAAATTCAAGACGTGGGTTGGGTCAAACGATGAGCAGGACAGGAGGATGTATGCAAGAAAGAAACCAAGCAAAGGTAGAGTGTAGAAGGGCTGAAAAGGAGTTCTAGAGGCTGGTTGCAAGCGAGGTAAAGTCAAACCCAAAGGCGTTTTACCGCTATGCAAAGTCAAAATTAAAAACGCGAGTAGGTGTATCAGACCTGAGGCTTGAAGATGGTAGTTACACAGATTCTGACCAGGATAAAGCTAAGGCATTGAACAACTACTTTTCCTCGGTGTTCACAAGAGAGGATACGATTAATCTTCCTGTGTTTGAAGACAGACGGTTCGACACAGCACTGACCCACATTGTGGTCACAGAAGAGGGTATTAGAAATAAACTGTCCAGGCTATAGGTCCATAAGAGTCCTGGCCCTGACATGGTGCATCCTAGAGTGCTAAGAGAGTTGTGCAATGAGCTTGCCGAGCCCCTGAAGATCCTGTTTTGTAAATGCCTGGATGAACAAAAGGTCTCCAGTGAATGGAAAGTGGCTTATGTGAGTCCTATCTTCAAGAAGGGCGATCGTCACTCCACGAACAACTACAGACCGGTGAGCCTGACCAGCATAATACGTAAAGTACTTGAGAGTATTGACGGCATCGAGTGTAAGCTATTTCAAGATCAGACTTGACCAAGTTCAGGTACATTCAGGAGCCGGTGCATGCCCAGTACTTGCCAACAGTGCGTCACAGAGACGTGACCAATTGCCCAAGCGGCTAACGAGCCGATCAGTGGTGAAGAGGATAAAAGTAAAAGTAAGACGGGGTGACAGTACTCCACATGGGGAAGCACTTCACTCTTGAAGATCGTTACGATGGACAGACCGTCTAGATATCTGGGTGACCTTCTTATAAGACCTAACAATTTAGTCACCTGATTTACCTTTTTCTTGCAATGGCCCGAGAACTTCAGTGCATTGTCAACGTACACACCTAGGTCCTTTTCACATTCTGTCTCATTTAATACAAGCTCTTCGTCCCGTTGTGACATATGATAAGCCTCCTTACCGTTGGTACGTCCCAGGTGCATCCTCTTACACTTTGTGACATTGAATCTTAGTAGCCACTTCTTCAACCATTCTTGGAGTTCACAGAGATCCTTCTGCAGCTCTTCACAGTCTGCTTGGTTCATAATTTCCCGCAATAACTTGGCATCATCCGCAAACATCTGTATGAAGGAATGTACCGCTTCAGGCATGTCATTATGAAGCAAACAAACAGCTACGGGCCCAATACACTACCCTGTGGTATCCCGCTTGTGATGGGTACAGATGATGATTTCGCACCATTAACCACCACACACTGCTTGCGGTCATGAAGAAAGTCTTTTATCCAACAGGAGATTCACATGATCTTTGAAGCTGTTTTCTCCTCAGTTGAAATAAAGATTCTGGCAGGCATATGCTTCCAAAAGCGGCTTGTTGTGGTATGTATCCATCAACCTCAATTATTGCTCAGTATCAGCATTGGCTGCTTCACCTACCACCTTAATGTTGTGTAGGTTTGAATGTTCTTAAAACGTGCAAACCACTTTTTCTTGGCATTAAAGGGTTTTTCATCAGCTACCACCTTCTTCCTGTGTTAAATCTGCATACAGACTCTTAGCCTTCATCTAAATCGCCATTGTACTAATGGGCACATTTTGCTTGGTCTGGTCCTCTATCATACTCTGAGTGAGCGTTCCATTTTTATCATTACATCACTTCGATGAAAATAAAGAGTATGGGCTGACAGTGGAGTAGCAACTTGAGCATTAGCCCCAATTTTCTCTTTGTTATCACAGATTGTACCAATAGTGGAGGTAGCAAGGCCTAAAGTTTGGGCAATGTAACAACTTTTCCCCCTGGTTAAGCCTCCTCAACACATCTAATTTTGTGTCTAAGGTAATACCGTTTTGTGCTCTCTTAGCACCACTGCTAGCACTTCCACTTAAGTCTTAACAGCCTCTTTCCACTCATGCTGAATAAGAATGCACAGTACAATACCTGTAGTACTGTCGAGAAATCTGAGAGAAAGCAGAACATTGGCTGAATATTCAAGCAGAGATGCATCCACACGGAATGATTTTTACAATTTTGGTAAAAATTTTGCTTAATTTTTTTTTTTAAATTCCCCAAGGATGAGTTTTTTTTCCATAACCTGAAAGTATAGTCATATAATTTCAAAATTTTGTAACCAGAAATTCCAGAACCCGGGGAATGCCTGTAGTTATGTGTATAATATATAACTCATAGCACCAGCATTCTATTTTTAACAACTTGTATCTCCATCCTAACTTCAACATCGTCCAAATATTTGAAATTTCAAATACCTCCATTCATCTTTTCAACCTAATTTTACATTTGAATACTCTTTCTAAAGCAAGTGATGATGTCATAATTCACAAAAAAATAATCGACTGACACAATCTCTTATCTGTAGTCACCAACACTCTCCTGACTTTCAGAAGTGAACTGCACCATCAGTCTGTCCTTGTAACTAGAAAAAACCTGTGAAAAGAATGTACTGTACTGTACAGTACTGTACTTCAGCAAACTTCCTGCAGATAGTAATGGTAGCTATTTGCAAGCATAAACACTCAGAAGATTGAAAAGCCATTAATGTATATTGTCAGTGCTGTAGTTTCACTCTTGAAGGAGACTGAGTTTAATATGGATTTTTTTTTTCATGAGCCTTTGAGAACTTAATAATGATAAGACTAAAAATACTAAATGTAGCATAGTATTATTCAGATACTGTATACATATTAACTTTTATAACTGTACAGTGCAAGTACTGTACCATAAACTGCCTTCACAAAAAATTTATTTCATGATTGTGATTTAATAGTGGCACAAGAATGATGTGGTTTATACAGTACTGTACTGTATATAACAATACAGTACAGTACTGTATATCATATGTATATACTGTATACAATAATGTGAATAATTAGAGGTACGAACAACTCCTTTTCTTAACTTAAAGGTTAAGGAAAAGGTGAGCATTTCGATGAAAGATATCTTGTTTTAAGGAAATAGGATTCATCTCTTTTCAACATTCCTTGAAAGAAGGGAACAGGTACAGGTATATTGTATTTAAAAATCCCAAATGATGATGTTACCAATCCTTTATAGCCACTTATAGTGTCGGAGATGAAACATTCCTTGTACAACTCTCATTTCCATCAATTTTACTATCAAACCATTTGCCTCATATTTTTTTCTTACAAAACGAACTAAAAGGTGTCTTCAAAGAGACGTGCATGTTGACATAAATAAGTATTAGTGAAGCAGTTACCTTCTGGTTATGTGACAGGAAAAAATCTGATAATATTAATCAGTGAAAATTTTGATTACAGGTATTGTAAAATGTGACACACAGTATATATCTGAAGGTACAAATGGGAAAGAACATACAGTAATAACATAAAAATGGAAAACAGCAGTGGTTGTAATACAGTACAGTACTGTTAGATGATATGCACAAGACAATTAGTGAAGATGGGCAGTTAATATGCTATGATGCAGGACCATGGTACTCAGTTGGATCATCACCATTATGTGCAGGCTGCTCTTGTTTAGCAAACTCAAAATGACCTTCACATATTTTAGTATCCCAATTATAGTCTAATGATTATAAGAGGAATATAAAAATATGACATTCATCCTCAACAGAAGTGCAATGAATATTTATGATGCATACCATTGACAATACAGCACTGTACTGTACTGCAATGAAGAATTAAATAAACAGAACAGTTCCTATTCTTGATTTTAGCTCAGTTATATTGGAAGTATATATATATATACTGTACAGCATATATATATATATATATATATATATATATATATATATATATATATATATATATATATATATATATATATATATATATATATATATATATATATATATATATATATATATATACTTAAGTTTTTATACAAGTAGGTATTTCTGTGTAATTGCCCTTCTTTGCATCCTAGTAAAAGGTCCCCACTACTAAGGTATCTAACTTAGCAACAGAGTAGCTTCTTTAAAAAGATAATTGATCTATTATAACAACAGAGTAGTCCAAATACATGCACCACAGTTCAGTTATGCTCTGCAATGATAACTAAATTTAACTTCATCTCACACAATGGAGATCATGTTTGTTTAAAATCACCAAAATCAGGTCTGCTCAGTTAGCACTAATGTGATTCAGTTGTGTACAGCCCTGTATACAGTATCAAGTTCAAATATGTGGATGTTGCTATGTGTGTACATTAGATTATTTAATAATAACAACTTTTAAAATTCATGCTATCTAGCAATTTCATCTACAGTAAACCCATTAATCTAAATATCTGGATAATTTGGACATTATCTGGATGCAAAATAGAGATCCTTTTGGAGCTTTTAAGAACCTTGCACACAAAATATACCAAACTAACCCTGATAATATATAATACACACTTCATGACGACTGAGGCAGGTCGTAAGTGCGGGTGGTTGTAAGTCGAGTACTGTAGGTCGTAAGTTGGGGAGGAGCTGTGTGTGTATATGTATATATATATATATGTATATATATATATATATATATATATATATATATATATATATATATATATATATATATATATATATATATATATATATATATATATATATATATATATATATATATATATATATATATAATTATACACTGTATATATACAGTATATAACATCAGAGCCTAAAAAGAAAAGTTTTGAAAAAGTTTAAAAAATACCGGTGATATACAATAAAAACATAATATTATACGAAAATTTACCTTCGATAAACTTTAAAAATTTAAAAATGAGCAATCCAATTGAAAACCGACAAAAATGACGAGAGACCTACATACAAAGCTAAAATCAGGAATAAAAAGTATGAAATAAAATATACAGGGGGGTATTACCTTAATTCAGAAGAGCCTTAGTGCAAAAAACACAACAATTCACTAGAGGCCATATCACAAAGGGATGGCTTTGCTTTATACTGGTGTAATGCCTCCATAATGCCTCAAAACTTTTGTGTTTTTAGGCTCTGATGATGGAAAATGATTATTTCCGAAATGGTAGCGATTAAAAGAAGCCCACATGGTCAAGATGTTTGTGTTTACCCTGGTTCTCCTCTTTGTTATAAAACTACGTTTTCCATGTAACAAGTCTATTGCTGAAGAGAGAGAGAGAGAGAGAGAGAGAGAGAGAGAGAGAGAGAGAGAATGTGTGTGTGAATTAGTACAGTACATTGTAGCTGGATGACACAAACTGCAGAGATATTCAGTTACCATACAAGCAAGACTAACTATGTGGGGCCCTAAATTATAAGAATGAATCTGAAACCCTCAAAACTGTGAAAAGTACATCATACATATAGTTATATTTTGTTTTTGTTATTTTTCTAAAAAAAAAAAAAAAATCAGATAAAAATAAACCAAAACATCACGTTCATGGTATTATTATTTATGCTCAAATACCTAACCTGTGGTTACTTCTATAACATTATTATTGTTATCATTTACAATAATCATCATCATAATAAGAGAATAAAAAATAAATAAACTAGAACAACCATTCGAGCAAAAAATTACATTAAGTACAATTAAATCTAAGCTAATGCCATGTGGATGGTTATTTTTTAGTTCACCCTCAAGTTTAGTTTTAAAATGTACAAAATGTGCAACAATTACATAACTCACATAACCAAAAGAATGTGTGCAAACATTTACTGTACTATGCTTTATCTTACACTTACAACAACAATATTTAGGTACCTTGAGACCATTTGATGTGAATATTTGTGTACATATATAATATGCATAAACAATATTAACAACATTATTGCCTTACATCTCTACAATATTTTATACTCTTAAACTGAAAGGTTATTGATCCTCAGATAACCATTAGTTTGATTACACTGAAAACTATAGAAATTGAAGAATGGCAGAGGGAAGTTCACCCTAGAATGATGATGCTGGAAACTATAGAAATTGGAAGATGACTGAAGCAAGTTTACCCTAAGATGATGTTTCTGAACTCATGATGTTGCTGAAAACTATAGAAGCTGAAGGATGACAGAATTATGTGTACCCTAAGATGATGCCATTGAAAGAGTCGTGACTGCAATATGAATACTGATGGCCTGTTGGGAGACTGCAGCTTAGCAAATGTTGACCAAAGTTTAAGCCTAGTACTGGCAAAAGAAAGAGATACATACAAAGGAATACTGAAAATAGCCAACGAGATATCAACAGAGAAAGACATATGCCTACTGTAATATGGAAAAGAAAATTCATGAATCTATCAACAGAGATATACATATACCATATGTATGTCCAGAATATCCAATGCTATAGTATCTAGAGAAATAACAAGGTACATGATATGATGATGAGAGGAAGGAAAGACTTAGAAGAACACAAGAAAGTAAAAAAAAAATGGTATGGTGCACAAGTTTACAGATCAAGAAAAATATTAATACAATATTAAATAATGATGGATGTATATTTTTACACACAGATTCATACACACACACCCACAGACATCCACTCACACACACAAGAGAAATACTGTATGCTAAAATTAATATTCCATATGGGTGTACTTGTGCACTAAATATTTCAAATCGTACTAAAAAATAAATACAATACACACCAAAGGTAAAAAAAGTACAAATAAACTTTCTGAGTACAAACAAATGTGACATGCTATATAAAATGTATGAAAATATATATACTGAACCTGAAGCAAATAACGCCTCTTTTGAGCCAACTAATTTTACATATTAAAAGTCAACTAATGGTATGTAATACCCAAAACTGCACCTGTAAGTATTTTGCAAAATGAATAAGGATTGAAACTAATCCTACAGTTGCTCATGAATAAATTCTGGATAATAATGTTATGTTAAATTAAAAACTGACACACATGTACTGTACAGTAAACTTCCTCTAATCCAGACTAATTGGGTGAAAGGCCTGTCCAGTTTGCCAAAATGTAGATACTACATTGCAAAGTGGAAAATTCGAGAGGAAGGGGGTTTCCGACTCAAGCTACCTAAGAACACTGAACCTACTGTAAATTTTAGCCTAAACTTAACACCCTTGGGGGTTTTTATGAGCCATGTGAAAGTTTTGTTACGCTGCTTAGGGTTTTAACATGTGGAAAAAAGTTCATTTCACCTCGGCAGCTTGGTGATGGCTCTCAGTACAGCAGTACTCAGCAAATCACCCATCAGCTGGTGTTGCTGGGCGCTCTCATACATCTGGCAGTCATGTGTGCTGTCTTGGCTGTCACACTCCGCTCTATTCAAATTCATCTTTCTAACACAATTAGAAATGATGCTATAGATAAAAATTTATACACTTTTTTGCTAGCAGTAAATATTTTTGCTCATAGCCACAGCCTGATATAATAGGAGAGTGATAAGAGAATCATACAAAGTAAAAGACCGTTTCTTATGGTATACATTATTACATCACTGTAATGTCTATTGATGAAAAATAGAAACATATAGTAGGTGTTAATAACAAAGTACTGTACTTATTAATTATTAAATTATCATGAGTCGGTTCAGTCTTGAGGTGATGAAGTGGTTGACACTCACAATGTATGCCACCAAAGGCGGAGTGGAGGTTATGTATTCACTGCTAATTTCATTGACTAATCATATTTCTTAAGATGCTTGTACTACCTCTTCAGAAGTAGCTATTGAGTTACCCTCCTATGCTGTGGTGGCAGCCACCATTTACACGACCTTTCCCTTATACAGTACTAACTGGATTTTGGTTGTTTTCTCCCGGGTCAGGGGTACATGTGTCTGGTGCTGGACCTCAGTCCAGTTTGCAAGGGGATCAGGATTAAGTGAGTCTGGGTTAGAGGGAGTTTACTTACCGTTTTGATGATAGGGGGAAAATGGGACTGACAAGTATTTATTCCTGTGTTGAAGAGGGATAAATACAAGTTAATCTTTTCAGTGCCCCTATGACTACTCTTAATGTGAGACTGGAATGGAAATAGTTGAGATTTTAAATTAACATAACTGAAACCATATCAAAACTGGAATTGCATACAAACATATTCCATGGATTATGATTAGATCTACATTTATCCCACTATTTTGCAAGGGTGACCAGACAAATGGTCCCAATCCTAATGGGCCTCATCCTAATGGTCCCTAATTCTACTTGGCCTCAAACCTAATGGACCCTAAACCTATTTGGCCTCAATTCTAATGATTAGGGTAAGTCAGGTTGGATGGGGCCTATTAGAACTAGAGCACATTTGACCTGCAACCTTTAGCAAGTGGTTAGCACCACCACAGGACCACACAATTAAAAAGAAAATAACAGGGAAATAAATTTCAATGTATCTCTTTAACTACTTTAAATTCTAAACTATAAAAACAACATTTTAAAGTAATTTTATGTTTAGACATAAATTATACTTGTCACTTCCAAAACTCTTTATACAGTAGCAGTACTGTATACTCTGGGACAACATTCTCAAACAGGAGAATAATCCTGTTGTTTCAACAAAACCTTCTTATTACTTACTCTAGGAATTATGCAAGCTCCTTTAATGGTCTCTATTTACACAAAAAATCAACTTAATTTAGGTTTTCAGAGTATTAGCTTCTGAAACGACCAATAGCAAGGTTCATATCATTTAGTAGCATACTCTCTGTATTGATAATGTGGGATACTGGAAAGTAATATGAACAGGACCACAAATATATTTCTTTTATAGCAAGCATGAAACTGCACTAACTGTGTCTAGCAAATAATTCAAGGGTAGTTTTGATTGGATAAGATTAAGTATGGTTAAGTGTATCATTTGAACAATTCTTGGTTCTGTGGTCCAACTCATAATACTTTTGAATACTTTCTATGTTGCAGGATGTGGCTTCAGGTGAACACTCATTATCACTCCTCCAGGAAAACTCTTTCTTATGCTCTCTATTCTTGGATGTTCCAATATCAGATATGACCCTGTGATTTTGAAGTTATCTATCACTCTCTTTTTTAATTCTCCTATCAGCTCATTATATATCTTCTCTTTGACCTAACATCTCTCCATTTCTCCAGCTATCTTCATGTGATCTCCTTATTTCTCCTTTCATATCTCCCTGCTTCTCCTCTCATCCTTCCACCTTTCTCTATTTTTGGAGCAAGTCTTGGAGAATATAATTGGGTTGGTTTTGGAGGGGCAAGAAGGATGGCACACCACTTCAGAGGTAAAAACTCATTCCTACAAGAGGTGCTTTGGACCATGTAGGAGGAGGCTTCAGGCACTTTATCCACCCCACAGTATTGGGCAGAGAGATGTTAATGAAGGTGATGATAATTTAATGCTTTAAATAATATCAACCTCAACTTTGTTATAACAACTTTTCCTGATACAGTATTTTGCATTAAAGAGAGATTTGTTGTCTGTTATAGTAATGCTTGCAACCCTGGATCTCTCCTTTACTGTATCAACCAAAGAAAATATTGGTCAACTTATGTTTGAGATATTATATTAATCGTCCAGTTAAATCATAATGACATTACATTGCTATTGTATATGCCATACCTAAAACTGCCCTAAGTCATTTGATTTCCATATATACCTTTGGATGCATAAGCACATATCTTTGTACAATTTTTCTACCAAACCCTCACAATGGCTTACTTATATATAAATTTTGAGACACAACACAAGTCAAGGGTAACAATCATCATTCTTCTACTGTATAATGTAAATTACCAGACTCAGTATTAATCTCTGTCAGTCCTTGTAATGCAGATGCCTTTATACTGAACTTGCATTTATACTTTCATAAAAAAATAATAGCTGCCTTAAATAATTTAATCTGGAAAAAATTACTTTTATTAAGTACAGTAATGTACTCACACTGTCCATGACAATGCATTCTTACTCTGGAACACTCATAAAGTTCAAATATCATGTATAAAATTAAGATTGTAGAGTTAAAAAGCTCATAGCCCCAAGTCCTGAGTATAATGCTATCACTAGCAGCACTAGTTAAACTTCTATAGGGGATATTTACAATCAGAGGGAAGCACAGGCAGTGGGACAAGGTCATTACACTGCTCTTTCATTTGACACTAGAAATATGGCATGAAAGTTTGATGGGATAGAGGAAGGCTACCTGATACTGGATGGTGCAATGAAGACACTGAAGTATATTATGACCAACTAGGACACTGAAGTATATTAGGACCAGCTTGGGCACTGAAGTATCATGACCAGCTTGGACACTTAAATATATCATGACCAGCTTTAGAGTGTGTCCACTTTGGAGCAATAAGTTACAGGCTTCTCTTAAGTATCCTATTGATTTTCTTACCTCTAATATATAATGATGAATGTAATGAATATATCTTACAACATTAAGTTGGCAAAACAGTTTATGCTATTTTCCATTATTTGTAGTGGGAAACCCCAAGTAAAAGGGGTTAGGTGAACCCTGTTCACTGACATAGCTGGTGGCCAGCAAAGTGCACAGCACAGTAAAATAACACCCAATCAACCCTGCCTAGCCAAGTGATCAAACCTGTGTCTTGTGGGTTGGGGGTCCAGAGAGATACCTATTAAGCCATGGAACTGTTCATTTGATATCACCGAGTCCAGAAAATATGACTCATAAATAGTCTTGATATTGGAAAAAAAAAAAAAATCTTAGTCATTACTGTATTTTCATGAACACATTGTCCAGGAACACACTCTTCTTGTCTCATCACAAAATTGAGCACGTACTCAGCAGTTCGAGAAAAAGAATAACAACTGAATTTATACCATTAAAACGTTAGACCAGTAACATTTATGTGCATTGAAGACATATATTACAAGTATACTTTTGAATATTTTGCACAACAAATTGACCAAGACTTTGCTAAGGACTGAGACGGTGGAAAATATACAGTACTTGAAATATGCTGCGATATAAAGCATGAGAAAAATCTAAACTGATGACTTATTAAAGTGAGTATTGGTGATGATTATTATTATCTCTCTGTGTTACAAATAACAGTATGGTATTTACAAACCAAGAACATTGATGACCAAAACTCAATGTTCCTGAAATTTATCACACTTTATGATACTCAAACTCAATAAAAGATGAAGCATCACTCTGTTCATTACCAAAAACCAATATAATGGATATCAGTACAATGTTGGGTGTGGTATGCATGTATCATGGTCTTTGTTTGTGGTAAGTGAAGAGTAAAATACACTGTATTGATATACTGTACTGTGCATGCATGAAAAATGGCTATCCATAAAATATTCTCATGTTTGCTAAATCTTTGTGAGCAGGATTTATAGCTCCTGTTAATGTAAAGGTAGTGGTTCACTTTGAAAACATAATAAGAAAATAAAAAACTCAAAATTATCTAACACAATGAGACAACCTGACATAATATTTTTACACCTAATACAGTAATAATTATACATCTAATTCCAAGTATCACAATCTTCAGTTGTGGATCTTCACTGTCCAAATTCTTTAAGTTTTCCAAGTTGATTAAACCATTTGGTTAAGGCTGTTTGGGTTTAACGGGGCACCAGTCTTTAAACCTCAACATGAAGTTCCTTCATTACAGTTTCCTGCAATACAATTTATAAAATTAATTAATGAAGAAAACACAAATATTTTCATTATTTTCACAAGCAAAAACATAGATACTAATGTATACAAAGAAGATACAACCAACGGTTCATTTCAAAATATGATGTTTGCAAAGGCTGAACAAGTCACAGCTATGTAACAATGAAAAAAAAATTAAGTGTGAAATGGATCCAAGTTGTACAGTACAGGTGTACCCTGTAAACTGATGTCCCATTGACCAAGTGAACTAAAATTTTATGGGTGAAATGGCACATGGGGTGACTTGTCTTCCACCCCAATGCCTTCTCTTCTCCCTTCTCCTCCACCCCCATTCTAATTCCCATCATCATCATCATCATCATCAACCAGGAGCCTTCTACATGCACACCTCAAAGTAAATGTACTTTACTGCATTTATTTTTTGTTTGTATGTAATTTTCGGTGAGCTGGAACCAATTACCCAAAAACCCATTGAAACAATGGTTTCGGTTAACGAATTTTTCGGTTAACGAACAACCTTCTGGAACGAATTGTGCTCGTGAACCGAGGGACCACTGTATTATGTTTTGAGTTGTGCACTTTGTTCTGACTGACTGAAATTAAAACAAATGGCAATGCATTCTTGATGGATTCTTTTAGTTTTCTTTGTTTATTCCAGGGGTTCTCAACCAGGGGGGAACTTCCCCCTTCAGGTTTTCAGAAACTGATACTAATATGGAAAAATAAAGGATTTTCAGTATTATATGCATATTATTTGGAATGCACTTTTTGAGGCAGACAATCTTGGAAAGGAGGGGGGAATGACATTCTGACATATGGTGAAAGGGGTGCATGGGGCAAACAAGGTTGAGAACCACTGGTTTATTCTTATTATTTTTTCAAACTTAGGTTGAACTGGGATTCATCTTATATCTCAGATATTATAGAAATTAACATAAACTAACTCACCTTAACTCATACAAGATAAACTCATAAAGATGCTGGGTGATGTTTTTGTCTTGTGTTACCAAACTACAGGGGGTACCTGGGTTATGAACAGGTTCCCTTTCCCTAGGACATTCTTAAGTTGGATTTGTATGTAATTCAAAACACATGCTATGTACATACAGAACTTAAAGAACAATGTTTAAAATCCCACTATACCATAGCCTAAAACCTTATATACATCTAAAGTCACTTAATTTAAGACAAAAGAAGAAACTGAATGACAAAATACAGGAAATTGAAAGTAAAAAAAGTAAGTCATCAGGTAAATAAAATAAAAAAATTTCAAGATTAACCCCATTCATAAGTCGGACACTTGTAAGCCGGGGACCCCCTGTTCTGTATTACACTGTACTTTATATAACAAAAGAATCCGATATTGTGACAATTTAACCGGACTAAAAATTCCAAATTTGTTCAAATATACTGAACAAATTTCGGTTCTCCATGAATTTTTCAAATTCGTTTTATTCCCAAAACCTCCCAATACCAAACTGGCTGCTCACCAATTATTTTGGTATTGAGAGGTAATACTGTACTGTAGTTTTCTATTATATTTCCTTTACTTCTAAATCATATTAGGGTACTGAAATGAATTTCCCACAACTTTTACAGTTTCATTACATGAATCAGTGGCAACGTGCATAGCCATCTCAAGGCCACAGCTGCCAAGTGAATTGGCAACGTGTTATGAAGTGAAGATTATGTGGGTGTATGCTTTCAGTATACAGTATTTAGTTCCAAATTTCTGCATTACCATAGGAACAGTGTGTTTATTGTGGACTATGGCTAGAACTTCAAGTTTATCCTTCATTGTTTTCACAATGTGTGTTAGTTATGTCACGAAAGAACAGGCACACATGGACCGAGTAATAGCCACGTGTAGCCTGAGTACAGTACAGCAATGTTGTTTTGATGTGGTTTCATATCGTTATTCGGACGTGTCATTACTCAGGTGGTCTGGCACTCATGGGAAATATACAGTATATTTCATTTACATCATAGTAAATTTCAAGAGGAAAAGAAGAACAAAAAAGGATTACACTTTTTAATTCTAAAATGAAAAAAGCTTGCATTGTTTTCTTCCCACCTTAGAACTGAGCATGGTCATCATCAGAATCTTGGAGTAAGTTTGCAGTGAGGAGTGGAAGAGATGAGTTCTGTGAGGATCGTAAGCGGGATTGGAGGTGTTCAACTTGAACTTCTAAGTTTTCTACAGTCTCTTGAAGCTCATCATTACCACGCTGCAGTTTTCTAAAATTTAAAATAATTTTACGATACAAGAAAAAAGTGTGAAAAAAAAGTGTGTAAAACATGTATGCTTTCACTAAATTCCAAAGATAGTAAAAGTTGAAAAATTCAACTGATATGACTCATACTAATGGGCAAATCTGCTATACCTCAACTCTTTGTGTAAAATTTCAGCACCTCTCATGGAAAATTCCAGGAGTTGATTTCACAATGTGAGCATCCCAGTGTAGGATGGAATGGATAGAAAGATGGAAAACACTTAAGCATACACATATTTTTTCAAGGGACACTAAATTATTCAATATTTGAGAAAATTAAATGGAGAAGTTATAATTTAAGCTAAGTACAATAAATGATGCATTGTATGTTATCTTACAAATTATGGAGGTAAATGAACACTACAAAGAATATATGATGCTTCATTAACTGCATTGTTGACAAAGAACAAAAATTACTGCTATTGGAAAGGCTTGTAGCATGTCTCACCTAATATTGTTTGAAGCCCCATCTACTTCATCTTCAGCAGCTGCAAGCTCTTTTTTCAATTCATCCACTCGAGCCCTTAGCCGCTTCACCTCACTTTCATACTGATCGGCCCGCCGTGAACAGTGTAGTAGTTCCACAGATTTATCAGCTAGAACTTTTTTAAGTTTTGAGTGTGCATGTTTCAGTTCTGATAATTCCTGCAAAGACATAGAGAAAGTTTATATAAGTGATATCCCCATAAGCTGGAACAATTGGTGCAGAGCTCTTCTGGGAATGAGAGATTTCTGGGTAACGAGACAATTTTCTCAATCACGGAAAAATCCCACATCCCCTGAATTTTTCTGGGTACTGGGAAAAGTTTCCGAGTCTAAATTATGCATCTTACACAGACAGAAACTTTTTCACATCCCTGGAATGTTTTTGGCTGCTGGGGAAAGTTTTCCAAGAGTTTAAGTGAGTCTAAACTACGCATCTCCTCTTTTCATCTCGCACCGACACACACTCCCATTATATTTAGACCGTGGGCACGAAGAAAAATATTTATGGCAAGCGAAAAAGTTTATAAACTTTTATTCATGGCATCTGTTCTAATTGTGTTAGAAAGAAGAATTTAGCACTATAATGATCCTGAAAAAATTCTCTACAAGAAGATTCCAATAAAAGAACTTTAACCCCTTCCCTTATTATCCCGAGTACAGTATACTTGTTAAAAAGGATGTGTAAAAAAATTATCATCCCACGTATACTCGGGGCGCCATGCTATTCAAATATTACTAACCCGAAATAACTCGTATGAGTTTGCAAGCCTGTTTTCTATGAGTCTCGAGTAAGTAGCGGTGAATAGTTCTCCATTCCCGATAGATGGCAGCACAGTCTTTCTCTATAGAGCAGACGAAAATACAGCTCCTCCCCGACTTACGACCTACTCGACTTAAGACCACCCGCACTTACGACCTGCCTCAGTCGTACCAAAATTTGGTCAAATTTTGTATTTTCGAGTTCCAAAGTCAGTACACAGACAAAATTTTCGTTTGTAATTCACTTTAAAACGGCTGGCAAGCTCAAAAGTGAGTGTTTTGTGGTGCTGAGAAGAAAAAGAGACACCCATTTTAGATTTTCTATGTGTTATTTAAGCATTTCCGACTTACGACCATTTCGACTTACGACCTGGATTTGGGTCCCTTACCCCGTCATAAGTTGGGGAGGAGCTGTATTTCCTGGCGGCCAAGAGATGCTGCGTCTTCATATGAAACGTTTTTGGTCGTTTTATTCAACCCCCCATTATGATTAGTGATGATGAATATAACAGTAAAGATTATGAAGACATGGAGGAATCAGAAAGTGATACAAGTGATGAAGACTAATACAGTATAGGAGAAGAGAGAATGATGCAAGACTAGCATAGGAGAGAACAGAGAATGATGCAAGACTAGTATAGGAGAGAACAGAGAATAATTTAAGACTAGTATCGGAGAACAGAGAATGATGATTATGCTTCATATTTATCTAGCATGTCTCAGTTCATTTACCTTTATATATCTCACCTAACAATTTCTTACCATCAGCAAGTAATCTACTTCACGCTTACAATACTGTACAGTCTGTCATGTAAATGGCTGTGGTCTCTACAGTATTTACAGGCTAGGGTACATACACTGAGATTCTAGTCACTGGCAACAGGATACTCAATCCCAATCAAGTTTTTTTTAGTTACTTTTGTCACATGTGTAACGGGATGAGTGAATACATGACAGCAAATCAAGAGACTGTGTTTGCTTTCAGTTTTGTCCACCTGTGTTCAAAAGAGGAAAAACAGCAACATGTAAGGCTGCTGAGGTCATCCATTTAAGAATTTTTTTTAATAAACATGCCTTGAATTTGTCTGCAATTTCTTGCTTTAGCTGCGCTACATCTGAGTCTGGGGTGGATGTTGTCATCTTTGTTCTCTTGTCGAGCCTTTCTTCTAAGTCTGTCACCTGAGCTCGAAGTTTCTTATTTTCCCGTTCCAGCCCCAATTTTTCACTTTCTAACCTTTCTCTTCTACCCCATTCAGCAGCATTTTCCTCCTGTAATCGTTCCAATTCCGCTCTTAGGTCTGCTAATCTGCAAAACGGAATCAAATTGTAAAATTAAATTTAAGCTCTTTACAGTGTGAAAAGATGACTGATATACAGTATACTGCTCATTGCTTAATTCAGAACCAGTGTTTATAGTGATTTGAGTGATGATATACAATAATTGTAGCAATAGGTGGGAAATGTATGATGCTTCTATGACTGTCTGTTGTTTTTACAAAAGGACAATAAGTGGTATGTCTTCAAAGATATTTCATATGTATTGTATGATTGACTACTGAGGGCCAAATAAATTCAGACCCACGACCAATTGTGGACAGTTCAGTCCAACCAATCACAAGTGGCATAAGAGAATGTGGAAGGGTACTTTTTAAATTTACACAGAGAACAAACTTTTCAGAATGGGGAAGGCTGAAATATCACACAGACTACAGGTTATGCTTGCAAGTTGGTCCAAACCTAATATGAAAAGTGTTGGGATACCACACATACATATTCTCACAAACTCTAACAAAGAATGTAGTTTACTCTAAGTCATTTCCACCATGCAGGCTGACTAGTCATTACAGAAAGTAGCAAGCTCAATGAGTTCTGAATACAGGGGGGGTCCCTGAATTACGAACTCCCGCCGATACGAACGAGGTCCCATAAGGTCGATTATTTTAAGAATCCGACATAGGTACAAATGGTTCGTAGTATTTACGTACGAGAACTAGTTTGCGTGGTGTAGCGACGGGTGGGGAGTAATGCGTCACCCAGCCACGTATCCTCATCATGGCTCCCAAATGCAAACCTGATGCAAATGATAGTAGCACACCCACGAAAAGGAAAGCAATTACAATGGAAGTGAAAGTTGATGTAATTAAATGTTCTGAAAAAGGCAAAACACCCCAGTCATTGGTAAAGCGTTGGGTTTCAGTCGGTCAATGATCGGAACAATTTTGAGAGACAAACACAAGATTCTTGAACATGTAAAATGATCTACATCAATGCACTCAACTGTGATAACAAAACAAAGAAGTGGATTGTTAACTGAAATAGAAAGATTGATAGTGATATGAGTGGAAGATCAAAATCAACAGCATTTACCTATAAGTCTAGCCTTGATTCAGGAAAACGCGAGAAGCTTACATGCTGGCTTGAAGGCTAAACGTGGTGGCGAAAGTGATGGGGAAGATTTTGTAGTTAGTAGGGGTTGGTTTAATTGGTTCAAGGCAAGGGCAAAACCGCAACACAACTTTTGTCTTTGATTATACATGCCAGTAGTGGACAGGTCCACTCCAATTCAGCCCCAATGGTGAAATTTTTTTTGTGTGTAATAACACGAAAAACACAAAAATAACATAATATGTATACGTAGTATAATGCTGATGAATGAGCAGACAAGATGGAGAGTAGTGAGGAGGAGTCAGGGGAGGCAGGAGGATGAATGAAGGTGGAGCAGCATCTATGCAGTACTGTATTGCAGTCAAGAAATTACTGAGGGACAATTGGGGGGAGGGAGTAGTGTTCCCGGAAAGGCAATGGAGAAGCCTACAGTTACCACAAGTCATTTTTCCTCAATTTAGTAGCCAAGAGGTTTTGTATTCCCGGCAAAATAAAGCTGTGCAATTTGAAAGCAAAACCAGGACATGCTCTGCATCGATCGATTGCGTAAATACCCTACTGGAAACACTTCAGTTGATGGGCTTAATATTTTAGGGGTTAAGAAAAAAAATTTATTTCATGATTATTCATAACACATAATTTTCCTTGCGTTTTTTAATAGTTTTTTTAAATCACAGATTAAGTGGTAGAGTAACATCTGCTAAATATTTTGGCTGTTGATCATTTAACTTTCTGAAATACTTTATCCAATACTAAGAGGAGAGGCATAATTATATTATAAATAATAGAAGTGGACGAAATTCCAAGAACAGCTTCAATAACAGAGAGTATATAGCCATACGAACAACATAATACTAAAAAAATACCTTGTGTCTGTCTTATGACAAAGTACTGCACTGTACTTTCATAGTGACTCACCTGCGATCAATGCACTCTCTTGAGGAAGCTTCATCTAACATTTCCAACTGTAAACACTGTACTTCTTTCTGGTGTTGAGTACGGAGGGATACCAGCTCTTTCACTGCCTCCTGGCGAGAAGCTCGAACATCATCTAATCTTGATCGTAGCTCGTTGGCCTCAGACTGCCATTTAGAACACTCTCGATGCAACACTTGCTTCTCACTGCGTAAAAGGAAATATTTTTGGTAAAAAAAATATATCCCAGAAAGTGTTTTAGAGAAAAAAAAATCTTGTGATTTAAAGAAGACAAATTAGGTTTGTGAAGAATAAAATGATTCCATTCACAAACAAATCAGGCTGAACATGTATTCTGATCCTCAAAAGAAAACTTCTAAAATCTTATTTTTTGTAAAGAAAAATAATGGAGGAAGTTTTTAAATAATACAAACATTATTTACTTTGCAAACTACTATACTGTACAGAACATACAGTTATAAAAACAATTACTGTAAAATGATGAGTCACATATTTATATACTGTACAGTAAGATCTCAAGTTTAGCGAGTTTTAGATTCGTGATCCATATGTTTCGCTATCACTTTTAAAATTTCCAGCCTCTCAAGAATAGCGATTTTCATTACTGGTTTCGCGAGTCAATACAGAGTGAGCAGCGCGCAATGACACGGTACTTTATTATCCGCCGTGTTTTTGTTTGTGGCAGTTAGTTTGAACGAGCGAGAGCGAGTGGTGCAATGACCTTGGATTATATAACCCATTGTGCTTACGTTTTGCGAGATTCTTGTTTAACTATTAATGATTCTTGTGTATTGACAATGAGTGAGGTACGCAATGAAACCACATCGCTTCTGCAACCACTTGACCATGAATTCATCAGTAATGTTAAACTGTTCTATTATCAGTCACTATAAAGAATTTTGTCAGCAGACAGATTCATAAGTTGAGTTACAGCAAATTGAGGCAGAACTCTGAAAGTGACCAGACTCTATCAGCACCAGCTAACCAGGAAGAGGAGGAGGAGGAGGAGGAGGAGGAGGAGGAGGAGGAGGAGGTAGACGACCTGACTCCGAGCACCTCAACACCCCACATCTGTGAAGTGTTATCAGTTTGTGAATTTTTGAAGAATTATAATATTAAAATGCAGTGGACAGAATTGCTGAGGCATGGCATAAGATTAATGTTGCAAAAGTGCCACACGCATGGAAGCCTTTGTTTGCTAATTCCGAGGTAAGTGGAGCAGAGCAGACCGAGACAAATGGAGAGGCAGTCCGTGGCAGCAACACTAATGGGCACGGTCAAGGCAGCGCAGTCAGTCCCAGCACAGGGATTTTTGGAAATTCAGGTTGAAGATTTGCAAGAAATCATTGGTTAACATCAGCAGCAGCTGACAATTGAAGAAATGTTTGAGGAGGATGAAGAACAAGAAGAACATCAAGCAACACAAGAGGATGATGTTAAGCCTGACGAACCTACAACACGGTAGCTGACTGAGATGCTCACAACCATCACACATTTCAGTGAACAGCTTGATGATTATGATACCAGGCCTCATGCTCAGAACTATATCTGCCCTGTCATTGAGAAAGTTATAGAGGAATACAGTATAAGGCCAGGTAAATGTCCCTTGTTAATGCTCCTCAGCAGACCCTTATTACTCGGTACATGCGCAAGGCCCAGCCTGTTAATGCCTTGGCAAACATCACTTTAGGAGATGATGATGGCACCACCGATGATGATAGTGAAGTGTTGGGTGACTTACTGGTGGAAAAGCTACCTCAAGACTTTGAGGGATTTGATGCTGAGGTTAATAATAATAATAATAATAATAATTAACGGTTTATTGAAAAAATTCTGCAGCCTGAAGGCTGAAAATATACATTGGACATAATTGACTCATTACATACATTGACATTGGTGGTTTAACAAAAGCCTTCATTAGAGAAACGTAAAGGAACAGACAGTGAACATACAGATTAGTATTTACAGTGGAGGTCACGTAGATCATGTGCACTGAGGTGTTGAACAGCAAACATGTAGTGTAGTAACTCCCTCACAGATGGTGTTATGAGGGGCCTGACGTGGTGTAGTAACTCCCTCACAGATGGTGTTATGAGGGGAATCACGTGGTGTAGGAATTCCCTCATAGATGGTGTTATGAGAGGCATCACGTGGTGTAGGAATTCCCTCACAGATGGCGTTATGAGGGGCTTGACGTGGTGTAGTAATCCCTTCACAGATGGTGTTATGAGGGGCCTGACGTGGTGTACTAACTCCCTCACGGATGGTGTTATATGAGTGAGGTGTGGTCCCAGGCCTTCCTATCGTGGACGGATTAACACATCGCTGCATGTTGTTGGGTCTCACGGGCAGTTATCACTGGGTACCTGGGACCTCACTGTGTAAAGGTTAACTTGGGTACTACTCAACTGTTACTGTTGAGTTGTTCTCACTGACTTAAGCACTGTTCACCACTATTCACCTCTGTTGAACACTGGTTCCATTCCTTTCCTAAATGAAATACAGTAGTAACCTCTGGCAAGAACTTGTTGATATTCCGGTGGGGAGGAGGGTTCAGGGGAGGGAGTTGGTCTGGGCCAACATAACAGTTGTTCTGGCTGCTGTCAGAGGAGCGCCAGGTATGTCTTGACCCTTCGGTGGTCAAGGTTAGAGGTGGTGTAGAGGAAGGGGCAGGGAGGAAGCAGTAACCATCCCTCCCTGCCTCGGAACCCATCAACCAGCCCCGTCAAGCATTTCACTGACTCCATCAAGGCAAGTTATTCTACAGTATAAGTGTGTGTGTATATATAATATATATATATATATATATATATATATATATATATATATATATATATATATATATATATATATATATATATATATATATATATATATATATATATATATATATATATATATATATATATATATATATATATATATATATATATATATATATATATATATATATATTGTTATCAACAATATGTACAATATAATATATAGGAATACATTACAGTAATGCCATTTTCTTAGTGGGTTGTAGGTCTTTATAGGGGGGTTCTGGTGACACCGCAGAACCAATTAGCCTTATTTACATGTACGAGGTCTGTCCAAAAAGAAACCAAACTTTTTAAAAAACAAATTTATTGCTTTACTTACAACTTAATCAGACTTGTCTTCTTCAGTATTCCCCTCCACTGTTGATACACCGCTCCCAACGTTTTTACCAGCTCTGGAACGCGTCCTGGAACACGTTTTGAGGGATGGTGTGCAGGTCTCGTAGCGAATTTTCTTCTATCTCTTCTATCGTCTGAAATCGGCGACCTTTCAGGGTGGATTTCAACTTTCGGAACAAAAAAAAGTCCTCAGGGGCCAAATCTGGAGAGTAGGGCGGCTGGGGGACGATAGTCGTCTTGTGCTTCACCAAAAAGTCACGGATAAGGAGCGACGCGAGAGTAGGTGCATTGTCATGGTGCAGCATCCAGGTCTTGTTTGTCCACGCCTCAGGCCTCTTCCTTCGCGCTGCCTCCCTCAAACGCTTCAGGACCTCCAAGTAAAACTCTTTATTGACTGTCTGACCACGTGGAACAAACTCTTGATGAACGATGCCCTCCCAATCAAACAAGACGATCAACATCACCTCCACATTTGAGCGACTCTGACGTCCAGATTTGGGATCATCTTCGGTGGATTATTCTTCCCCTTTTGAAATGCTGGTACCACACGTGACATTGCGTAAGGCTCAAACAATCCTCCCCATAAGCCTGTTGCAACATTTGAAAAGTCTCCTTAAAAGTTTTTCCCAATTTGAAACAGAATTTCACGCAAACACGTTGCTCTTCAAGATCCTTCATTGTTCAACTTGCAACAAATCGCCATGTGCACTAAACACACCACGTTCACTTTAGCGTGTGTAGCTCGATGACTAATTGACATGGCGTGATGCGGCTAGTGTTAGACTAAAGGTCAAGGTCACCACTACACAGCGCTCTCGTCGCAAGCACGCTATTTAAAAAGTTTGGTTTCTTTTTGGACAGACCTCGTATTTCAACGTCACTCGTTTTGCGATTTTAAATTTTGCGATTCTAAAACCAGTACCAATTAGTCGCAAAACTTGACATCCTACTGTATTGTATTAAATCATCCAAGCTTGCTTGAAACCTGGGGCTCACTATAGCTAATGCATTCAATTTGCCTAGAATTTGTATTTTTTTCATTTATGGTGTTTGTCCCAAAAGTAGAAGTAGCTACCTGAAGTAGATTGGGAAGGATTGTTGCCCTGGTTTGAAGCACAGTCTCAATAGGTGAGGTAGCTGAATGTGATTCAGTACAGTGCACATGTTATTACTATGGAAAGCTTTGGGGAAACATGGAACAGGCTAGGTGAAGTTCATTTTGAAATTAGATTAAAATATTAGAGTATACTGATTATATAATTTCCTCATTCATTTTTACAGGGCCAATTAAAATTTATATCTTAGTACCATAACCTGCACTATCAGAATCTAAAATGACACTGATTATGTAAAGTCTTAGTCTAAAAGTACTGTATAATGTATGAAACTCTGAAGACACACCCATGCCATGGACTCCTGACATATGAGGAGTATTTATTATGTGAGAACTTGAGATGGACACAATGATTTTCATGAGATATTATTTATTTCATTTGTTTCAGAGAAACAGTATAGTATATAAAAGGAAGCTACTTTAACCATTTATGAATCAATAACAAAATCTGTATTGATGTACAGTTTATAGAACTAAGGCTGTAAATTTTTGGTTCATAACAAACATCCTTCAAAAGACCAGGGAAACATCATAGAAAACCAGGGGTGCAGCGCTGCCGGAGCTCAACGGAGCAACAGGGGATAGAAACAAGGAAATAGTTGGTGAGTAGTGCAAGAAAAATGAGAATGGTAATGTGGCTGTTGATAAAGAGGAAATCAAGGATGTTTGGAGAAAATACTATGATAGTCTGCTGAATGAGGAGTGTGAATGAGACATAAGAAGCAGCATTGTCAGTACAGGGGCCATACCTAAGGGTTGGAATAGAATGGGTGAAGAAAGTGACTGATAAAATAAAGAAAAGCAAATGAAAAGAAATAAGTGTGAAGGTCTGTGAAGTTATTATAGGTACAGTATGTTGAAAGAATGGGAGGTGTATGATAAGTAAAAGGAATGTATTTCTTACTCTTTGCATCCTATCTACCACACCTCTTCCTCTCAAGCATATCAATTCTATTGCTTCTACTTTGCTCCTCCTACTTGCATCAAGAACAGCTACATACTTTTCACAAATAAAATAATGTCGGCTTAGGGGTCCCCTTGTATACCATCATATTGCCTCATTTGGCATAGTTCTCTCTCTCCATACACACCTAAATCTATTACTGGTACTTTTTTTCTGCAACTCAATTCACCACTAATCATTTCATTTGCTGACACACCCACTCCCAGATCATTGACACTCCATTTCCTATATTTTATCTCCATTCAAGTTACCATTTATTTCTTTGTACCTCTCTTTACATGAGCCTATGATTCAAAACAATGCATTATAATACTCACTCTCTTTCTGCTTGTATGGTCTTGGTGGCCTCATCCAACCGTAGCTTAAGCATTGTAACTTGCTGCTCTAAGCTTTCCTGTTCTGGAGTAATGCCCATCTCATCCATCACAGACCCCCCACCACCACCCATGCCACCATTACCGCCATTGTTCGTTCTCCATCCTCTCCTGCCATCGCGGCCAACCCCATCATTGGAACGTACAGAGTCTTCATAGCCCCCCTCACTACACTCACTTCCCCCACAAACCTCACTCATGGGGTCTGATACAGCTGATATTCTGGGATTAATGTGGCATGTGTCTGGTAGAGGGTCTGACATGGCAGACATTCTGTGAGAAGGGGACGGCTGGCTACTGCTATTGCTACTTCCAGCAGCAGTCACTGTACTGTCTCTAAATGCCAGTTCTTGCTGCTGCTGGTTATGGATCATCTTTTCCTCAATGTCATTTTCTCTCTGAGGATGATGGCAATTTTCAGAAACCTCTTTAACAGCACTATCTTTTAAATATTCATCACATATCAAATCTTTCACTTCACGACCAGCACGACACTTCTCACTGAGGCGAGTGGCTTCACTAGGTTTGTGCGCATAAACAGATACATTCTCTACACCACTCTGTGCTAACGCCTCACTAACACTGCTTTCGTTAATACCGATAACATCATCACCGGGATGACCTCCACGAGACCCAAACATCTCCTCTAGTAGGCTGAAGTTCGTATTTTTGGCATCACGAATAAATTGAAGTTCATCATTAGACAGTTTCTCGGCCTCTGTCTGAGTGATGGGACGTGCTGGAGTGCTACCATCTCGCTCTGGTGAGTCTCCTTTATGGCTACCCTAAATGAGTGAAAATAATGATTGTTTATTACACAGTACAGTACATTAGAAATTAGCACATACAATACAAACATACCTAACTGCAAATCTTTCCATTACTTGATTACCCTGGCCAAGTTAAAAGAGTACCATTAAAAAAATATTACTCTTAAAAAAGTCTTTCATCCAGTTTTATATGAAAATTTTAGCATATAATTTCCAGCACTGAGTAATTTATTCATATGGTATTGTTTCCACCTTTCTGCTTCATGTGAACTAAACTGTTTATCAACTCCATTTCCACTGATAACACGAACAGTAAATTTTTGGGGGTCTGGTCATAGTTCACCAGTATCATACATCACCAATTCACAATATGCACTAGAGGAATCTAGGTGCTGTTTGATTTACCTATACCCGGTACGTATATTGTATTTCAATTTACACTTCTATACCTGTTTAATTCAATACAGTTTTCACTTCTACAGGTACAGTACTGTACACTATTCCTAAAACTATTCTATACTACATAATTTTACTTTCAACTTAATACACCAAATATACTATACTAATTAAATGGAAATCTATCTTGAGGAATTTCTGTATATAATTCAACATTATCCATAAATTTAAAAAGCAACACTACAACAAAACCTTACAAGATTTATTTCTAGTATAAACCAGAAATGAATGCAATTTGTTGCTCTCTTGAAAAACCTTGTGTAATGAATTCACTCAAATTGAAGTTTGACTTTGTACTTGAAAAAAGGGGGGTTGTGTTCCTGGAATTTAAGGTGCTAATCCTCTTAAAAATCTCAATTTTTGCAATAAATGAAATGACAGATGAACTGTTTTCAACTCCACTCACTAAATTACAGAACATTAAATTACATAAACAATAAACACAATTGAATTCGTGTCTGCACTCACTAAAGTCTGTCATCTGTTTGTTGATGCTCGTGTGTAACCAGGCTCAAACTAGCCTCTGCCTTTATCTTGTCTAGATTTTGCACTTTTTTGCTGATGGTGTGGGCAGATCACTTCCTTATTCCCAACAGTAGAGGCAGTAGGATGGGAAGGTTTCTTGCCCAAGTTTGAAGCCACTGTCTCAATAACTAAGGTAAATATAATCGAGTACTATGCACACATGTGGTCACTAAAGGATGGTGGCCCATCTCGTGCGGCTGGTCGTTTGAAAGTTAGTCAAAATGATTCTTATAATAAGTTTAATTATCATTTTCTTCCATCACATTTTAAATACAGTACAGTATTATCATAATATTCAGTACCACATTTTGTCTTCTACAGACTGGAAGTCACGAACTTAAATTTTTTTAGTCCGAAAATATGTGTCGTCACATAGAAATTATGCGGATACAACTTGTGTGAAGTGAGGGTTCACCATAGTATATTTTGGTTCTGTCATTTGCAGTTCTTACTGTAAACTAACAGGATTACTACACTTATCAATGTGAACAGCTACAGCTAAAGCAACATGACAATTTCTTCAGTTATTATTTTGAGTGGATTTTGGGCCTCAATTACTAAATTATCCGAAGTAATCACAAAATACCACTCTAGTATAAAAGTCATTATAGGTACAGTATACAAAATGAAATGTAATAATTCACATTTATATTACTCTTCTCTGAAAGGAAGATTTCATGAAATATATATCAAAAGTAATAGAGAAAACTCAAAATTTACTTAAAAAAATATTGGAAATACTAAACTGCTAAATAAATTAAGATTAAAATACTGCCACAATAAAGGTGATGAAGATTTGGTCATATGTTAGCATGGGTTCAGGCAAAGCAAAACAAGCAGCACACTAAGTAAGACTTCTATATGTGAATGAATCAGACAGCAAGAAATAGGTTCATAGAGCTGACAGACAACTCAAAATAAGTAATAAAATGGTTGAAGTAGTTAATTTAAACTTACCTGGTCTCTCCCATCATCAGGTTTATCTGCCCCACTGTCCTTTCTGGGTCTCAATTGGTAAGTTTGTGATAGGTGTGTCATTTGAGCTTCTAAATCATTCTTCTCTCTCTTTAAAACACCACTCTCTCGCTGTGAGACTTCTAGACGACCCCGTAAAATTCTCACCTCTTCTCGAGCCTTATTTCGTTCACTGCGCACCTGAAAATTCCCAAACATCAATCAAAATCTTTAATTGTCACAAACCACAAGTACTGTACTGTAATAATAAAATGGCTTTCCTTTGTAAAGTAACATTTGGAACAACAGAATTCTGTACAAAATAAAACCAGGCATAGATATTAATGTTGCCTTTGCATGGTCTATCCTAAATGAAACTTATTTCTATTCAGTAGCTTACTTTGCCTGTCATCCACACAAGAGCTTAAGGAGTATTAGAGGGCTTTCTTCGACACAAGTTACATTGTAACTCATCTACAAACTAGACAAACATTCTCAAGCCCTAAACTATCCTTCAGACTACATCCTTCCAAATCTGTGCTTTTGTTTTTCCTGTATCACGAGTAATTACACCTTGTGTTTGTTTGCGAAAAAAGAAAGAACAGTAAATAAAACTGGGATATTTGAATGTTTGTGGATGTGATCAGAATGATGAAGAGAGTATGTTAACAATGACAACAAAGGAGAGACTTGGAGACAATCGAAGGGAGTAAAGTCAGGAGTGTATAAGATAGTATGATCAAAAGAAGATGGTGTTGAGTGACGAGATGTGGATTTGTGTGGAAGAATAAAAAGGGGTTAGGCACAAAATACTTTTGGTCAGATTAAAGAGTGAGTACATACACACCAAGAAATGAAAGGAACAAGGAAAAAATGAGAGGTTCTGGGAAGACCTGAATAAGTGTATTGAAGGATTAGTGTGATAGTGATTAGATCTAAATGCATAAGATGGTGACAGGATATTGGATGGAGTTGTGAAGAAACATGGAACAACATAAATGAATAAAAAGTGAATAGCAACTGAGAGAAATATGTGCTGACAATTAACGGATGGAATACAATATTCTAAAGGAAAAAAATCATAAGTATACACGGAGGCAGGATAATGGAAAAGACCAAGGAATAATAGACCATATGTTGAAGGATAAAAGTTTGATATATAAGTTGATTGATGTGACTGTAGTACAAAGGGTGGCACATCTGAGCAGCACTCGGTAGACACAAGATCAATAGTGAATGAATGGATCCAGGTGTAAGAGACTTGGTGAAGTGAGAGGAAGGTTTTAAAAGGTAATGGGCTAAAGAATGTAAATGTAGCTGAAAGATTTAAAGAAACAATTGCGACAAACTGTCCATGTGTAAATGATGTCAGCTAGAGACGAATGAAAATACAGTAGTTCAAGGATGCAGTGTTGGACAATGTAGCTGAGATGTGAGAGTACAAGAGAATAGGATTAAATATGAGAAGCCAATGCAGTCTAAAATACCAATCCAGTCTAAAATGCCAATGCAGTCTAAAATACCAGTCAAGTCTAAAATACCAATTCAGTCTAAAATGCCAATGTAAGCCACACAGCATCAGGGTGGCCACTCAAGAGAACAAATTCATCAGTAATTGTCATAAGGAACATCTGTGACAGAGGTGATAAATTCAGTTGTGTAATTCATTAGATCACAAGGCAAGATGTATAATGGCAAACACAGGGACAACTTGGCCATTGCCTTTGTGAATTAATAATTACAATAATAATCACAATAATAATGATAATACAGTACACCCAGTCAGACAAATGAAGCAGGGCATAAAATTATCAGTTCATAAGCCTGATTGCTGACCTAAGTACATTATAACTAAATGAAATGTTAGATTCTTTGATACTAAAGCTAGTTATACAATCACCTTGGGCCTGAGTTATATATATTTTTTATAATTATTATTTTTTTTAACCTTTATTGCCCAAGAGAATGTTAATGCTTTTTTGTTGAGATATGGTAAGGTAATGGCATTAACATAAAGTAAAATCCAAGATTATTAGAAGTATTTTGGAGATGTTCTATTACTCTTTTATCAAGAGCAATGAAGACCATAAACACACTCCTTCATATGGTCCTATACATATACAGCTCCTCCCCGACTTACGACCTGCCTCATTCGTACCAAAATTTTGTCCAATTACATATTTTCAAGTCCCAACTTCAGTACACAGACAAAATTTTCGATTGTAATTCACTTTAAAATGGCTGGCAAGCTTAAAAGTGAGAGTTTTGTGCTGCTGAGAAAAAAAAGCGACACCCATTTTAGATTTTCTATGTATTATTTAAGCATTTTCGACTTACGACCCGGATTTGGGTCCCTAACCCAGTCGTAAGTCGGGGAGGAGCTGTATACTAATCACCCGTAAAAAACAGTAACTGACAAACCAGCATGAGCTACACTTAAACAAGTATAATCTATACATATACGATATTGTATTTTCATAGCTTTCTCACTGATATTTATCCTTCAGCAACATAAAAATAAACTGTCTACAAAATTTGGATAACTGATATCTCTAGAAACAATGAAACGTTTAAATCACCTTGCTCCACTTTTCTCGCCAGTTAGCTGTACAGTCTGACCACCATCTCATAGTCTTTTCCATCTGAGTGGCGCGGGCACGAGCTTCCTCCAGCTCTCGCTGCATCATCTCCTAAAAAATAAACTCATTCACCAACACAACACTCACATTCACTTTTAGAATGAAGAAACAATTCCTAAGAATTACACAAATACAGTACACTGTACTCACATAAAGATAAAAGCTCCTAATTCAAAACCTCAAACCTATTTTTTTTTTAGTATACAGGTACTGAGAAGCAATAAACAAGCTTATCTAACATTTTCACCACTACCTTTCAAATCATATTCAATGTCTCTAATTCATGCTTTATATTTGCTAATACCTGTACAGTAATTGATCCTTAAGCACAACTGTAACAAAACAAACGATATTGCAATATAAATCAGCAAATTTAATAACACATCTGGCTGCAACACAAGAGTAAGCAACAAATTAAAATACATATGTCAACTCAAAGACTATTTACATGTACAGTACTAAAAGAAAGTACACTGTACTATACTGTAATTCTTTATGCAATTCTATACACAAGTAAAATTGAAAAAAAAAACATGAATATCCCAACTAATATCAGTAACAGGATGAGTTGACGACCTTAGAGAACAGGGCAGTGATTATCCTTATGCAACAACCATATTCAGATAAAGTGTTTGAGGACAGATGCTTGACATCTTATGACAAAGTGGCAGATTTTACTGTGGTACAACCATGTGCTGAAGCCATGCAGTTCTGGAGAAGCTTTATTAAAGAGGGCCGAGTGGAGATGCGAATGTTAGTTTAAGTATGGAATTTGAAATTAATATTAAACAAACAATAATCATAGAAATTAATATTAAACAAACAATAATCATACACAAAAGACACACTGAAAAATAGCTTCAGGGTGGCAGGCTACACTTTAGCTAAAACCATGCTTAGAATAAAGTTAACAAACAGCCACTAGAAATAGCTCATTCACCCAACAGCAAATGGCTATACACACAGATATCCCTCACTAAACAAATGTTTGCTTATACAAATTTCCTAAATTAACACCAATTTTTCATTTAATGAAAGCTTACCCCACTTATACGAATTTGGGTCCAAGCAAAAATTAAAATCACGCACCCCCGAGAGTCAGTTGGGGTGGTCACTCCCCCTACCAGGTTGAGGCGAGAGCTAAATTAGTTATTTTTCAACTCGTATTTTGGGTAGATATACAGAACTTCCTTCATATTTTTTTTACTCAGTTACATGTACACACAATCCTACATACAGAATGTGCAAAAAAAGTAAAAGAAATAGCTGTCATAAGTTCAAAACTTAAAGGGCATAAACATTTCTTTGTGTGCAAGAGTGGGATTGTAAGAGCCCTGCTGTTTAGGGTCATCAAAAGTAGCGTCCCAGCTGGGCTGTTAGTATGGCAAGGCTTGAGCCCATGCAGCCAGCGTTTATGCGAATGGTGATTGTGTTAAACTTTCATTTAGCTTTTCCTTAATGTTTTTAGATGCATATTTTCATCTACATAGTATTTTATGTTTTTAGTGTGTCAGGTACTAAATTACAGTGTGTACCATTTATCATTAGTTAGGTAATTTTTGTTTGTTTGTGAACCGATTTCATGTTTTTGGGGTATGATATTGGAGTTTTCCTGTCATGGGGGAGTCAAACGTTACATTTCTCATATGTTCTGTTATTTGAGATATGAAAATTTACTTAACAAATAGTTTTTCAGGAACCTAACCCATTCATTAAGCGAGGGATATCTGTAAATTTATTAGGAACCAAATTATTAAAGATAATGAATCTAAAGCAAGAATCTGCCATAGTAGAATTTCAAATCACAATTAAAATGAATCCTTGGAGTTTAAGGGAAGTAACTGAGCACAAACCAGCTCTGTCATGCATGTGCAGTCGGCCACAATAATAAGTATACACCTACGGTTCGTGTTCGAGACAAAATATCTGGTAACACTGTCCTGAACAGAAGACAAAATTACAAAATGACCTGTAATTTATGTTTCATTCCTACATATATGTTATAAATACATTTGTTGTGAATGTTTTACTAGTGTCTTGTGTTTATATTACAAGTAATATATTGTATCTAATGGTAGTAAACTTGTTGCCAAATGGGATTGCAGTTATCGTACAGCTCCCTCCTCCTCCCCCACTTTTTCTCTTACCTTTTCTTTACTGATGTTTGGATTAGTAAAGGAAGGAAGAGGAGTAAACAGAAGAATAAGGAAGGGGAACAGAAAATAGTTAGAGATTACAGGTGGGGGAGCTGAGTTTCATCATGCATCTGGATGCGCAGTTTCAACGTTACCAGACCATTTTCGGACCTTACAGCTACAGTGTGTATACTTATTCCTGAGGCCGACTGTACAAATGAACTTTCAGTCAGAGAGCCAAAAAGCTGTTTGGTGTCTTACTAGAAAACCTCAACCAAAAGGTCTTGAAACAGTCATCATACTAATGAATCCTCCAGTTGATGTAACAGATAATCTTATATACTGGTACAGGCAGTCCCCAATTTACAAAAGGGTTCCATTCCTGAAAAACTTTTGCAAATAAATTTTTCATAAAAAGGATCACATTTTCTCATACTCAACTTATAGAAGATGAGACATGCTACAAAACAAGTTTTCAAGGACTTGTTTGACATACACAATAATTATAAGCCAATAATAAACATACGTGAAATACAGGCAGAACAGTACAGTAATAATCTTTAACCTGTATTCAAGAAAAACTTGATAATTATTTAAACAAAGTGAACAGTATGAAACACTAAGCCATCACCTATAATAAATATGTCACAGTATTAATACAGTGATTTCCATTTTATAATTGGAGATACAATCTCTCTGAAAAAAAAAGGTCCCATGCTTAACCCCTGATGAGTTATAGATTGCATCATCCTAAATTCTCAATGTATTGTTTACATGGTGTGAACGCTGCTGTCAGTCAGCTGAGGCTACATTTATATTCTCTTACACATTGATGGCAAAATCCACACCTTCAAATTTTTGTTCAGTTCCAAATTCCTAACTATCTTTTATGACTCTACAACTTTATTGTACATAATTATCATATGAAATTTATGAAAAAATTATATATATATTTTTTAATTTATCACATAATAAAAGAAAGTAAAATGAGGAGAAATTGGATATGCAGGCAGTTGGTTGAGAGACTGGTGGTGAGTCTACCTGTCCCCATTGAGTTTGGGAAGTACCTTAAGTTACAGTACAGGGTGATTGTAGGAGAAAGATGACACATTATAAGCTTATTTGGATATCTAAAAACACTGCAGTTGTTAGAGAATAATGAAGTAGCGTAAGTTTCTAAAATAAGTAAGCATATTGGTAGTAAAATATTTCAGCTTATTTTCATTACTTAGGAAAAAATAAAAAATCTAAAGTTCAAATTGTTTGTTAGTACTGTACTATACGGTAAATCAAATCACGGGACAAAATGTCCTTTTTTGTAGCTTGAGATTTTCGTTAGCTGAACCTTTGTAAATCAAGGACTGCCTGTATTTAAAAATGATACTGACAGAAGATTTAGCAGAATTATAATGGGTTATTGTACATAAAGTATTTTAGAATGTTCCCCAAAATTTGAGGGAGGATAACATTAGTAATCAGAAATGCAATGCTGTATTGACAAGAGGTTACCAAGTGGAACTAATGCCAGATATTCTGTGACACTATTGAGATCATTAACTGGATATAACAAGAAGAAGTCTCTTAATATTTGTTCCACTCATATGAGGAACTACTGTACCAGTACAGTACAGTACAGGTATACAGTACTATACAGTTTCTACCTGTTTCACTGAGAAAAATATATCATCAACACAAACTGTAAACCAAAGAATTCAATGTGAAAAACAAAATGTGAAGGATATCTACCTGCTTATCATGCCAGTGATATGGAAGTGGCACTGGGTCATGAGAGTGTGTGGGAGGGGGATGTGGGTGAGCCCCTGGAAGAGGGGCTTGAGCCCCCCGACGGGTTGAGCTGCCGCCAGATTGTGCCATCATCACAACCGTCTGAAATTCACCACCAGCAGATGTGAATGCAAGTAACCTTTAGTAAACATTAATATTAACAATAGCATCTACTATTTGACATTAATACAATATACACAAATAAACTGATAACTGATAAGAAATGTTGCCTAAAGCATCAATACACCAGTACATCTTTTCTTTATGGTGAACATGGACATCTCAATTACTTGTACTGTACATAATACAGGTTACTGGAAAAATCTACTTGCTAAAACCCAGTTAAGTTTGATGATGTACAAATCAAGTTGTCCATATATCTGTAAACTTTACTCTCTAAATGAGACTCAATGATGGTGATTATTGTCTAATGAGATTGCAGCAATGGACAACATTTCCATGAATATTGAATATACATATTAAAAAAATATGCTCTACAAAAAGATTTTAAGTTCAAATAAATATACAAAACTATGTAGAATAAAATAAAAAATACACAAATATACAAATGGGTAAAAGAAAATGATGCTACTATCTCACCATTGTCCTACCTATCTCTCCTTTATTCCACCCCCCATCAACCTCCCTGCCCTCCACCTCACTATCCTGCCCTTCACCCTCTACTTCCTCATTCTTCCCTACCCTCCCTCTCCTCAATCTGCCCTACTTCCTCATTCTTCCCTACCCTCCCTCTCCTCAATCTGCCCTACTTCCTCATTCTTTCCTATCCTCCACTTCCCCATCTCTTCTCCATTCACTGTCTTCTCTATCCTCTCTCCACCTTTTCTTCCCTACCCCCCACCTCCCCATCATGCTTTACTTTCCACTTCCTCATTCTTCCCTACCCTCCCTCTCCCCATCTCTTCTCCCATTCACTCTCTTCCTTACTCGTCATCTTCCCATCCTCTTCTAGTCCCTATTCTCATCTACTTTACCCCATTTCCTCTATTCTCTAAATTTCCAAATAGCCAATTAAATGCTAATACGTACAGTTTAAATTCCACACTACAGGATTTAAATACCCAATTGTCATCTCAAACCAGTTATTACTAATCACATTAACTGGTTTTCTTGTAAATAATTGGGAAAATGTTAAGTTTTCCTATACAATATTTTCCCTGTACTCAATTTATATTGCACAAAAATACGGGCAATTTATTTATGAATTAGCAACAGAGACACTATATAATAAAACAAAGCTTAATATGATCATTAACCCTGATTTCAAGTTCATCATTTAGTTGTTGATTCATTAGACAAAACACTTAACTTACTGATCATTCCTCAACACATACTACACAGTGATGCTCACATTTAGGGAGGCAACAAACCTCTCTGAATGACTGATGAGCTTTACCCCACACATTAACCCCACTAAATAATCCTATTCACTCAAACTTAACTACTATATGTGTGTAGGATCATCTTCTTTATCATTTAACAGCTATAATACTTCCATTCGCCAATAAATAATAACGATAAAGGAGATAAACTTACAAGGTATGCGGTCCGTCATCACATCTTGGTGGGCACTGACAACAAACCCACGCCGCTGCCATCTACCGGCGGCAGCCTGGGAACACCGGCCTCCTCCTACCTGTAATTTACTTCTCTATCCTTTGAAGTTTTGAACAGTCTGAAGGTAACATCTCGGGTTTAGTGGTTATATATAAAATCCATTTGAAATATTTATCTTAATTGGAAAGATTAAATTCTTTGGGATATCTGCAGCAACGGAATGTAGACTGAGGGAATGTGATGCTTTGGATTAATGGTTTTCTAATAAACTATTGATTATTGTGTATGCTCTGATAGTTATGAAATTCATTAGAACTTTTACAGAAATGCTTTAAGATGTAGAATCTGTTAATTATTTAGGAAGCACTGGCATGAAATACATGAAAAAAACTGGTTGGACAGATTCACGTACCATATTAAGATAAGCTATTTATCTTCAAAATATAAAGATCAGTGTGACATGAAGTGATTAAAATCAACTCAAACATACTTACATATGGTTTGTCATGAGAAGCACCAAGGACATTACGCTGAAATATGCAAACTATGAGATAATTGGTCGACAAGTTTTTGTAGGCAGCCCATGTACCTCAGAGGTTAACCTGGGGCAGGCAAGAAGGGCGCAACCACCCTCCTAGTTGCCAGCCACGTATCCTTCTTCATTTTATGCTATTTACCTGTTCAGATAATAGTAATATAATATTAAGGTCTGGCATTTAGTGTAATGTATAGATGAGAGTCGCACAAAAACAGCTATTTCATATGAGTGTCGGGTAACTCGCGACACATAGTAATGACAGTGATTATGTTGGGAGAGTGTTGGCGCACATCAGTCACTGGGTTAGGGGCACTCCTTGTCCACGTTTTTCTGACTAATCACCGTATAAACTATTTTTACCACCAGAATGGGGTGTCTTCTATCCGTTGGACCTAAATATTGATGTACTGACGGAGTTTTTGTATTAATAATTCAATTATTCACAGTTGTATACTCCTGTTTATATGTAGTAGTTTACAGTAAATAATTAGTTTTCCTCTAGCGATGAATTGTAATACTGTTTTCACATGAATGAAAATGCAATACACACACACACACACACACATATATATATTGGACTGAAAGATACCCTTAGCTTTAGTAGTAATAAGTTAATAAGATGACAATAATATTTAATATCACTGTTGCAAAATTAACTTAATTTTGCATTGTAAACTTACGAGTTCTGAACAATGTTTTATGCATAACATTAGTAAACCTTATCATAATTTACAGCGCGACTCTGTATCTCACGGCTAACTTAATGAAGAAAATGTTCGTTTGTTCTTCAGTTATATTCCGTGAACACCAACCTGGTATTAATTTGACCGAATTGTTTCGAGAGCCGAGCGAGTCCTGAATATTATATGAATTACAAATCGATGAATAACTCTTTGTACTTTAGATATAGTGTAGCCTTCCCGAAAATGAAAACCGCAGTAACGTGGCATTCACTGAGGTCATACAAGGTCAAGAGGTGACACCCACGTCTCGGGTAGACGTAAGATAGAGTGAATCTATGACACTTATTAAGTTTGACTCCTCTGACACTCCAGAGTAAAAATAACATTATGCACTTAACATCACCAACAAATTAAATACATTGAATAAGAGAGAACTGTCATCACTCACACGTACTCTCTAAATCACGAGAAACCATTTTCGTGTTCACTTTTTTTCCTCAGCCACCAGATTTCGCCGCCCAAACCATTAAGGAGACCCCCTACACCGCCTGTATCACCGCCCAGATTACCACTATCGACTCACTCCCCGAGATTTGCTTCAGGGACTACACAAGAACAAAGACAATTTACTTTGCTATTATTCATATCTACCCCAAAGACATCCAGTCACTGCTAGTTTCATTAGATAGGGGTAGTCTGAATAGTTACGGTAGTTTGGATAGTTACGGTAGTTTGGATAGTTACGGTAGTTTGGATAGTTACGGTAGTTTGGATAGTTAGTAGTTTGAACAGTTAAACTGCAGGTAAGTCATCACTCCAGAAATTCATAGTTTATTATTTACTCCTAATTATTATAGATCGTGTTATATTGTACATGGATATCTTATTCTAATTAATAAGTCCTATATCATTCTTAATTTTGATATCCACTATGACAAAGGTATTAACCCCCCCACCCAAGATATTCTTCTGCCACAGCTTTATATGGGATATTTTCTTGTTGAATTAACTTAGTTTCCTATTTTTTCTCTATATTTTCTAAGTATTATTTTACATGTATCTATCTATCTATCTATCTACCACTAGGTACATAATAAACCCTTAAATGCTTGAGTCACTCATTAAAAATTTAGTTTTTTTTCGTTCTTTCTGAGTTTCCGTCTACAGATCATTTTTTTAGGCTCTGCTTTTCAATACGCGATTTTTCGTTTAGTTCATTATTTCTTTCAGTATTATTGAATTTAATAAGCAACATTTAATTTTTTACACTGCACTGAATATTCTGATGGTGCTGAGACTTCTTGGTTGCTAAGCATAACTTAATGATGAACTTCCTTGGGCTAGTTTCTGGATCGACTTACTATTTAGTACGTATTTAGCACTACAGTACTTGTATGCTCATACTGTTATGTACTGCACAAGCTGAGCCATGGTGAATTTGTATGGAGATTTTACTGAAGAAATAAGTTTTCATCTATCTATACGGACGATATTGCCAAGCCTAGCGGTAAGAGTCACTTCCCTCCTTCAAAAGTCTAATAGCGTGTGTGAAGGTTTTTAGGAAGGAGACGCAAAAGCCTAGTAAGAGTTGTGTTGCGGCCGGCGAGAAACATCCTGTACATATGACAAATCCTTCTTAACAATAAAACCAGGATATTTTATTTTCATAAGAATGGAAATCATATCCAAATGGAGCATTTCGAATTGTTCTAGATATTAATTAATGCTAGGAAATGGGGAGGAGTTACTGAATGTGGATGAGCGAGGACTAAGGGGGAGATTGTGCTGATGGAGGGAGTATCGGGGACACGGCCGAGCTGACGCGGAACTTAACGACCTTCTATTTTGAGGTCCCAACATGGATTCGGATTTAATGACGACAGAGTAAAAAATAAATTCTGGAATGAGTGAGTACAGTATCCACAAAGGATACGGAAATGCTGAACCATTACCTTTCATTGGTACTGTACATACGAAATAACTAACTAAATAAATAACTGTTATTTTCGTTAATTCACGCATTTATGTTGTTGATTAGCACATAGAATGACAAAACATACAGTAAATAAACACTAATGATGATACCATGTAGATTCAGTCAGCTATGGCACGGGGTAAGAGAACGCCTGTCAGCCAGGTTGTGATGGGTAAAGCGAGGGACGTTTTTAAAAAAGAGGACTTGATAACGCAAAGCCACCATGATGAAAAAGTCCTGCTATATTTATCATAACACTTGTCTTTCCACATGGACGGTCTTTTATCAAGGTGTAGAGAAAAACTCGTTTAG